ATTCGGCCGGAAAAAAACACGGCACTTTTGGTTTTTTGAAAAGCTTGCGGAGTTGGTGTGTCGTGGTTGACAGATTAATCAATAAGGAGTTGAAGTTTTGTTTTCTTGTTCAGTAGCTTAATCAACTTTATTGTTTTTATGTTTGCACAGTTTTGGTTCCTTCAGAAGAGAAGGCTATCCCTTTGATGCCCTAGTGGATTTTTGCTCCGGATTCAATGGGACATAAGTCGATTTCTTATATGCCATCTTAGATTTATTGCATTGTTTCAACGCCTATGTCTATTAGGGGAGATGGCAGTGGTTATGTCGGCAGCAAGTTTATGGGTGGTGCCAATGGGACTTGGACGGAGAGGACAAAGGGGAAGGAAGGTGGGAGGATGACGGAGGAGGGTGGAGGGGGAGAGAGAAGAGGAAAAAATTAACTGAATTACTTTTCGCAGTTCAAAAATTACTCTTTGATAGTTTATTTTGGATAATTTTACCCTTAAACTTTTCTTTTTTCTCATTTCTTCTTCTTCATCATCTTCTTCTTCCTTTTTTTCAAATCATAAATCTTGATCTACTACAAATCAAAGTGTAAAAAAATATCGGAACAAGACGGACAATCACGGAAAGGCTCGCCTTCGATTTTAGTAAATTTGTTTCCCAATAAACTCTTGAAAGTAAAAACAAAAGAAAAAAAAAATTGCCAAGGGGGGCCGGCTGTCGGGCCAGCCACCTTTTGAAGATTTGCCGGGCCACCCTGGGTTGTGTAATTGTTATTATTTTTTATTTTTACTTTAATTTTATTTTTTGTGTCATATTTACTAATTTAATAACATGTTTAATTTAATTTAATTTATTAGGTATAATTAATATAATTTAATAATTAGTGTAGATTAAATGGAGAAATTAGGTAAATAAGTTTTTTTTATTATAATTTATTTGCTATATTCAAATAAAGAATGCACTAGATATTATATTAAAATAATATGATAAATATATTTTGAGTAGGTTTTTGTAATTAGGTATGTGGTATTTAGTTAGTATTATTTTGTAGGCTTTAATAATTATTGTTTACATAAATGAGTTAGTTATTTTTGTTATGTATATTATAATTTTTTAAATTTGATATATAATTAATTTAATTAATTGTTGTATTCTTGTTTGAATAATTAAGTTAAATTTATTTATAATTAATGTAATTAGTTGTTGAATGTTGTGTTATTAGGAATAATTAATTTAATTAAATTTATTTTGATTTCTAATTGAATCTTTATTTTAATGGAATAGTTATACATAACAATTAATGTAGGTTAATGGGAGAAATTTAATATGTATAATTAATTTAATTTAATTTTTAATTAAATTAAACAAATATAAATAATTTAAATTAAACAAATATAAAATAACAATTACACAAGAAAATAAAAAATAAAAAATAAAAAATAAATTTTGCCCAGGGTGGCCGGCTGTCTAATCGGCCATCTTTTGAAGATTGGCCGGTTTACTCACCGACCAACCGGGAAGAAGTGGCCGACCCAACGAGTGGCCACTTCTTCCTGCATCACTGCATCTAATTTAATTATTCTAAAGTTTCAGTTAGGTAAATTTAAATAAATAAGTAATAGAAAAATTTCAATCCAAACAAAGAAGACACATTTGTCCCACCTATTTTTTTTGTTTCTTTTAGGCATGTCTTACAAATAATATAAGTAACAAGAAAAAATCTTTCCTTTAAACTATGATTTCTTACAACATACATGACAAAATTGAATCTTAAAATATAATAGAGGAATAAAGTTCAAACCCCTAGAAATTTGATCCTATAGTTTTGAACATTTTATGTAATTTTATAATGGGATAATGCAGCAAGTGAGTATCTAAGCACTCCACTACAAGTCGATTTAGTCTCAAAGAGTCAACCTACATGAAGATCAAGTTAGTTTTTTGTATTATTAGTTTTGAATTTTCAAATCGAATGCCCGCTACTGATATACTCGACATGATTTAGACAAATATGAGAAACTCATATATTTTAAAAATTCACAACAACAGAGCATCTATAAATTAATAATAAAATTATAACAAGATAGTCATAGGGGAAGCTGTGGCTGGATTGAATCTAATTATATTTACATATTAAATAATTTTCTCAGGTACCAAGTCAAGACTAATACAAAAATAAAATCAATCGATAAAATGATAAAATAATAATTTTTCAGAAAACTTTGATTTAAATATAGGTCCCACCAATATCATAGATTAATAACGGCTTGAAATATGAAAAAAAATAACTAGGCAATAGTAAAATTTGAATATAGTAATGTATGTTTTTGTCTTGCAATTAAAATCTAAAGATATTTCATCATTGATTTTTTCCATTAATTTCAAAACTTTGGTGAAGATTTCTTATATCGCAACAAAAAATTTCGAATAATATTGCTGCATTAAGTGTATTTTTGTGTGATTGGTTTCAAGGACATTGAATCATCATCATTTGCATCCTACGTCAAATTTTAATAACACTAGCTACAGTACCTCCAAAGATTTTATTAACTAATTGTTAAGTTATCGATAAATTAATAATTACTAGAGTTATCCTCGTGTGTTACACGGATTGTTTTACATGTATTGCGTAAAATTATAAACTTATGATAACATGTGAGTCGAGCGTTATTGTCGTAATATGATAAAATTTATGTCGAGTTTTGTGATATAATAATTCTTTTTTGTGTTTTGTTTCATAAATTACATTTATCTTTTTTTATATTTCATATTCAAGATAGTGTACATTTTGAAGGTTAAAATATTAGTATGACTCATTAGTAGCAAAATTTTGGAAGTAATAATTGATAATATTGGCAATAACTTTGTAGTATATTTCCGTATATTTTTCCAAATAAATTTAGTAAACTCAAAATGAAAGTTTTAGCGAACTCAAAAGGAAAAAAAGAAATGTAAAGATATAGGGGGATGATGATCTCATCGGGGGAGGAGAAGAAGTGGTAACATGGGATTGGGAAGAGGAGATATTGGATGGTTTGCAACCACCAATACCCTTAATCACACCTCATGTGTACTTCCCATACATTTTGTCTCAAAATCAATCTAACTGTGGATCTTCCTAGTTTCGCTCTCAAACGTCACCACCTCATAGAATTCTTCTACCTCCGTAAGTGATAGTTTTAAATAATGTTATAAAGTTTCAGCCTTTAAATGATATTCACCTATTAATTTTCCATCATTCTCCTACATAACCAAACATTTTTTGCTACAATCCTAGTGTTGTGGCAATTGCTGTGGTGGTCTTTCATTTGGATAAAGAGTTGTTGATGAGCATCCTTAAAGAACTAGGTGTTGAGAAAGAAAAGGCAACTGTGGAAGCATGTCTTTCGGACATTGGTGGAGTCTATGAGTGTCCTATATGCTGTGGGAGGTATAACCATTTGGATGGGATAGAATCCATGATTCCTTGTCTTCATTGTTTCATGCACATTATTTGCTTAAGTACTAGGCATTCACCAAGTCCCCTTAAACAATTGCCCATTTTGTAATTCACAAACGAGGAATAGGTTCTAATATAGATTCAGCCTTAGACTATAGGTATGGATATTGGATTTTATTCTCATAAAATCCTTTACAAATGTAAAGCTTGTGATTCTTGTTTTTGAATGATGACTTGAAAATGAATGGATTTTTTTTAAAAAAGAAAAGAAATGTAAAGATATATAGTATTTTATACAATATCTCTTTAGTAATATTTTTTTGTTAGATTTCCCTAAAAAATACTACATTTTATACATGCTTGATGGTTTTTCATCCTCTGAAATAAATTTTATGATTTGTTTTAAAAAAAATTCCACCACAATGAACTCTGCTTAAAAATTATGAAAAACCATTAATTCTTAGCAACCAATAAAAAAGCTAAAAATAATTATCAATGGATAATATATGGTTTTCATTATTAATTAAGTAGATAATAAAATATATATGGAATGTAATAAATATAGGTGAAAGTAAATTAAAATAACCAATTTACAAAAAATTTTAACATTTTAATGAAAGGGGTTTTCTGGCGTTGACACGTGTCAAAAAACGTGTCAAAAAGACACTGATTGACATGTGGCGAAGAAAGCTCTGAACTATCTAATTGAGCGGCACGTGTTGATTGAAAAACCTCCTTTAATATATGAAATAGATTAATTATCATCAAATTAATACATCTATAAATTAATAATTTTTTGGGATCCAGCAAGACTAATTTATAGATATTTTATTGTAGATAATTCCGGGCCACACATAAAAGCAAATAAAAAAGTGAAATTAATTATTATAAATAAATACGATATCAAAATATATAAAATGAATATAAGTAAAGAATTTTTTTTTAAAAAAAATGATGGTAGCAAAAAAGTGGGGAAATTTATTCTAGTGCCAACTATGAGAGTGCATTTTAGGTTTCATTTCTGAGTTTTTTCTTTATTATTGAAAAAAGATTAAAAAAACATTTTATTCACAATAAAAGAATAAGCACATGAATTTGGATGAATATATGCCTAATGAATTATTTAACTAATGAATATAAGCAGGAGGTATTTGTATCAATCAAGGACAAAGTTTGGCAAAGTTTGCAGAATTGGAACTCAAAGTCCCTCTCCAAAGCTGGCAAAGAAGTCCTCATCAAAGCAATAATTCAAGCAATCCCTTCATATGTTATGTTGTGTGCTTTAGAATCTCTAATGTTGTTCTTGAGGGATATTGAATCTATGGCTAACAATTTCTTTTGGGGCGATTCAAGTGATAAGCGCCACATTAACTGGATTTCTTGGAAGTCTCTATGTCTGAATAAATCAGCTGGAAGAATCGGATTCAAAAATCTAAAAACTTTCAACACCGCTTTACTCAGTAAGCAGGCTTGGCGACGTTTTTTTTTTTTGGGTAAAATATAAATAATTTCATTGATTGGCAAGAAAAGCATATTTACAACCAAATAAAGTTCTATTTTTCTATTACAAAACTTTCCTACTTTCTGCTATCTGCTATTACTATAAATCTCTTAAGAGAATAATGCTGTCAAAGTTCTACATTCACTGTCTGATCTTTTGTTGCCTAAGCAATGTTCAACACGCCATCGAACTTTCTGCTTGATTAAATGCAGCAAGACTTCAGCAGGTCTACTCTTCTCAGCAAAAGTTCTACCATTACGCTCTTCTTCCCATAGATGGTAAACTGTAGCAGCCATTGCTGCAAACAGGACTTTTGCATTTTTCCACAAAATCAGCATAGACCTTTTCCATTGGTTGTCTATATGAAAGTCTATAGATACCAAGCCAATCAACCACAAGTTTCAATATAGACTGAGAATAGTAGCATTCAAAGAAAAGATGACAAGATGTTTCAGGCACATTCTGACACAGAGGACAATCTTGTACACCTTTTAACAGATTCATACGGGCCAACCTATCCTTGGTTAATAATCTGTTTTTCCACATCAACCATAATATAAAGGAATGCTAAGGATTATTGTACCTTGACCATATAAAAAAAAGCAGCTAGAAAGTTTTTAGTCTCCCCCATTAGCCACTAGTAACCAGAAGACAGTGAGTATCTTCCTGTTGAGCTGTGATTCCAATTCTGGCCTGTAAATTCCTCTTTCACCTTCTCTTTTAGCTACAAAATTCTCTTCCAATGCCAGCTAGAACTCTATTTGGGGGTGATTTTCCAGAGGTCTCTTCCTTTGACATATTGCTCATGGATCCATTTGATCCAGAGGTTATCAGCTTTTGCTGCAATGTTCCACGCATGTTTCAACAAAGCTGGCTCATTCCATTTTCCTGCATCCTTAACATTCAGTCCTCCTTTGCTCCTTCCCCTACAAACCTGATCCCAGCTTACCAGAGACAGAGACCTACCACTTTCTCTTATACCCCACAGAAAACATTGACATAATCTATTAATTTGCATGGTAACACTATGGGGCAAAACAAAAACAGAAGCCCAATAATGGCTCATAGCCACCAGCACAGAATTAACTAGTTGTAATCTACTTGAATAACTAAGAAACTTAGAACTCCAACATTCAATTCTTCCTGCTATCTGTTGAATCAACAAGTCACATTCAAACTGATTCGACTTCCTTGGAGAAATTAGAACCCCCAAATATTTCATTGGGAATGTACCAGTTCTGAAACTAGTAATTAGACAGATTTGCGCCTTCAATTCCTTTGACACACCACCAAAAAACACTTCACACTTCGCAGGATTGGCCACAGTCACAGCAGCAAATTCATTTAAAACATCAACAATCTTCTGAACTGTATATAGGTCAGCTTTGCAGAAGATCATTAGATCTTCTGCAAAGCAAACATTGGTAAGTCTCATACCTTGGCACTAAGGATGAAACTTGAACTGGGGATCACTTGATGCTTTCTTCAGAAGTCGGGTCAGATACTCCATCACCAAGACGAAAAGCAGCGGATACATCGGGTCTGCATGCCCTAAACCATGGTTGCCTTTGAAGAAGCCACAACTTTCTCCATTCAGACTGATAGTATATGATGTAGTTCTTACACATTCCAGGATGAGCTGAGAGAAAGAGGTAGGGAAGCCAAAACGATCCAGCATCTCCGTAAAGAAACTCCACTCCACCGAATCATACGCTTTCTTCAAGTCAATCTTGAGAAGGCATCTGCCACTTATGCTCTTCCTGCCATACAACTTAATCAAATCTCGAGTCAGTAAGACATTATGCAAAATAAGTCGGTTACTGACAAAAGCGCTTTAATTGCTGTCAACCATATCAGCTAACACATTTTTCAATCAATCACAAATTATTTTAGAGATGCATTTATAGACCACATTGCAACATGCAATGGGTCTATATTCTGCAGAACTCAAAGGAGTCTCAGTTTTCGGCATCAAAGCCAAAGTTGTAGAATTAAGTTGCTTCAGTAATTCTCCTTTTTCAAAAATTTCAAGAACAGCCTGAGTGAAAGTCTCCTTAATAATTATCCATGCTTCCTTGAAAAACCCACTTCTGTAGCCATCAGGCCCCGGACTCTTTCAATTATGAATACTCCATAAGGTTTTTTAACTTCCTGAGGAGTAACTTTTTTTTTGTGTCAACATCAACTGCTGTTCCCACTTCAACACTGGACCCTGCTGGAATATCTCCTTGTGAGGCTTGGACTCTATTGTTTTGACCTAGCTGCTTCTGAAAGAAATCTTTAAAGTGTTTGCGGACAATCTGCCAGTTAGTAACTAGGTCACCTTCACTGTTCACTATGGAGCATATCCTGTTCTGCATAGTTCTTATTCGCATTCTGGCATGAAAAAAGGAGCTATTTGAATCACCTAATTTCATCCAGCTCTCCTTTGCTTTTTGCAGCAAAGACTTTCCACTGCTCTGCTTGTCTCAAAAAAAGCTTGAATCACCTAATTTCCTCCAGCTCTCCTTTGCTTTTTGCTGCAAAAAACTTTCCACTGCTCTGCTTGTCTGAAAAAAAGCTCTACTAAGATTCTTCTCTTCCTGTTGAGGTTGAACATTGTCTCTATCAGTTGCAACTCTTCCTGCACCTGCTGTAACTGCATCATAATCCTCTGTACCTGCTTCTGAATATATGAAAATCTAGTCTTGTTTAAGGTTCGTAGCACTGGTTTTAGTCTTTTAAGTTTCTGCACCAACTGAAACATATAACTACCTCTTACATGAAGCTCCCAAGACCCTTGTACCAAATTAAGAAAATCCTTAGCTTGGCTCCACATATTGAAATACTTGAAAGGCCTGATTCTTTCTCTTCTTTTCCCATCCATCTGTACAAGTAAAGGAGTGTGATCCGATACACCCTCTAGAAGAATGGGGAATGGATTCTTTTCCGGTGAAGACGTCGGGGAATGGATTGACAGAATGGGGCATTTCTTCTTCTAAAATTCAATACCGTTTGACAAGGAAATCTATACGGCCGCAGTTTACTTGACCGAAGAGCCTCTGCAATTCCTCTATGGATTGCATTCCGTTTCACAGTTGTCGAATTGGGATAAGTTCGCGAATCAATTGGAGCTTAGATTCGGGAATTACATTCGGCCAACCCTAATAATTAATTTTTGGGAGGCTTCTACTGAGGATGCTCCAGCCATAGAGCCAACAGTCGAGGAATGCCTAGGATGTACTTTTGCTTTGGAAGATGACGAAGGAGCTAATTCACCGGTGGAGGAATCCGCTGAAATTCCGGCTGATGTGCTCCAAGAATTCGACTCTGAGATGAGGGTATTGGTTGAAAATGGTAATCTTCTATTTCAAGACCTTGTAGAATCTGTGATTACTGTGAATACTTTCTCGGAATTGGAAAATGATTCCCTCCGTTTGGATTAAAAGGATTCGGGAATTGAGGTTGTTGAGGGTAAATTAGTGCACTCCAATTATGTAGAAGCTCCAATTAAGAACTTGGCTATGTTTGTTGGAAATTTTATGATTACCGTTGAAGATTGTTGTGATCAAGAATTGAATGTTGTCAGTGATAAGAAAACTGAAGGTTTTGATTTGGGCTTATGATTTATACGGGCTTTGGTAAGTTGTATATTAATGTGGATGCATTTGGATTTTTGGATATTGTCTTTGGCTGTGAAACTAAGGAAATTCTAAAATCATGGGTACTACTGATATCCTGTTTTAGAGGGGGAACAATGTTTGCTGAAATGCTCGGATTGGCAATGGACTGGAGATTAAATATGGTATTTCTAGTAGAAATGAGAGGATGAAGGGTGCTGTATATTTTCTAAACACGTTAAAAGGGAAATGGCCTATTGTTGGTTCTTTCAAGTCTAGTGAAATGGTAAACATGATCTGGAGTTTTCTTAATTTTTCAAGGATGTTTCATAGCTACTTGAGGCATTTTGTTCATCTGTTGAGACTTTTGAATGATCTTGTGAAGTTGTTCTTTGAGAATACTCCTGTTGATATCATGCGTGCACTTCCTTTGGTTACTGAAGTTAATTTTGCTCTAATTATAAGTTAAATGGTGATAGTTGAGCCAGAAATGGTGAGAAATGATGAATCTGAAATCAAAATCAATGTTTGTGGAAATTATGTTCAGAATAGAAGACATTATCTAAGTCCTTTTGCTATTGATTTTGGTGGAATGGTTGCTTATTTAGTTACTGAAACGAAGGAAGTTGATTTCGATTCAGGTGTTAGGTTGCATGTGGCTTATATTGGTTTAAAGGAGGTCAATGATGATGATTTTCCAAATTCAGATAGAAGTATTACTTTGTGTGAAGACGATTCTATGAATTTGAATGCTAAAAAGTTACAGGGGTTTGGTTATTTTGGAGGAATGGTTGTTGTTGTTTCGCCTGAATCTTCTATTTGTGTGATTGATGTTTTTGAACCTCTTGATAAAATTTTTGGTTGCAAAGAGTGATTCGAAAGTTTGGGCTGAAATGTTTACCTGTTTTTAAGGGAGGAACTATTGAGAAAGTACTAAATGTCTATGATGAGACTTTGAATGAAGAGAACAAGGTTTGTCAAAATTTCGGAAGCTGGTTTGATGATAGATATGATTCTGATTTTAGGAGAAAAATTAAGGCCTCGTGTATAAGTGATTGTTGCTTAGTGAAAACTAGTATGCTGTTAAAGAAGGGGATGGAAATTGAACTTGCTGAACTGAAAGTTTTTGTATCAAAGAAACTTATATGGCTTGCACATGTGATCAATTCTGAATTTTTTATATTGTTGGTACACGTGAATGATTGGAATGCTGCAGATTGTACCCCTACCACAATATTCGAGTACATTTTGGTTCATAATAGGGGATTACATTTAGATTCATCCATTGTAGCAACTATTGTCATGATTATTCTTGAGAGAAATACTGCATTTTTTCTTGTAAGCATTGCCTCGGGAGCAAGAGACGCAGAGCTGCAGCAACTAAAGTTAGCAAAAAGGTACTCTGAAATTAATGTTGAGTTTGAACTCTTTCTTTGGTTGCGGATTGTAGTTGGCTACTCCTTACTCAACCTTGAGGACAAGGGAAATTTTTATGGGGAAGGAGTAGTTAGTAACGTTCTTTTGCATGCTTCAAAGATTCTTGAATGTAGGCATACTTGCAGCCTAAATTATTTTGGGACAATTTCCTTTTTCTTGCTACTATTTTCTCATGGGAAGAATAGAACTGAAGCAGAATTTAAGTTATTTACTCTGCAGCAAATTTTAGCTGATGGAGATAATGAGTATCTTGATCTGTCTATTGCTGCAAAGAATGATGCTAGTGTTAGTTATGTGCCTGATATGATATCTTGGTATTGGGATTCAGAGTGTTGGGTGTTTAATGAAAATTTCTATGATTTTACTGAGCTTGCGAGTTGTTCTGTGAATTTAAGTCTTGCTGTTTGGAGTGACATGGGGAGATTTTGGCTTCAAGAAGCAACTAGTTTCAAAGGTGGAACCGAACTTCTGAAAATGAAAGATTGGATTAAGAGGGCTACTTGTTTTGAAAGGTTAGTTACTGCGAGAGAAGTTAGTGTTGAAACTATTTTATTAACTATTGAAGTAAATTTTCTTGGGTTGATTGCATGGCACATTCTAGAAGCAGTAATTTGTTTGCAGAAAGAAGTGAATGACCAGAGTCATTTCAGGAATGTTCTTCCGAAAGATATACAGTGGATAATCCTGAGAGTATTATTGCTCCAATTTCATAGTTTATCTCGGGGCAGCACTAGTGTCTATGTTGGAGCAGCCTATTCCTTTGAGATCCCTAAGAGAAAGTGCAATGATGTTTCTATTCTGAAAGGAAAATTCCACCTCCTTGCTGAAAGAGCGGTTGTCAAAGGATGGGATGTTGGAGATCAAACGTTAAAAAGGTGTGGAAACATTCTTGTTACTATTTGGGTTCCGGGAAAAGTTACTGAAATGAAGTATGCTGGAATGCCATGTAAGGGCGCGAACACGGAACACCAACTCAGGACTCAAGTTGCTAACCTTTGTCTTATACCCTGGGAATTGATCATAGCATGGATACAAAATGACTTGAGCTGTTGCAAAGCTGAAAATGTAGTATCATTGCCACCGGTAAGGATTACTATCCTTGACCATTCCAGCAGGAGTTTTGACAGATAGTTTGCTATACCTTGTGCCGAGTTCGTGGTTGTCCGAACTTGTCAAAAATGGAACCTGATGCTGGAAGACAACCATATCAGCATTTTGCTTCCCAAATCTTGGATTGTAGCGGTAACTTCCTTCAAATGAGGTACTAGAATGAACTTTCAACTTAAGTGTGGTTTTAAACCATGGGATAAAATAGTAACCATCTTCTAAGGGGGCACACTGACCTTCCATGAAATTTGGCAGGGAATCAACCTCAAAATTTGTGTTCTAATTTGCTGATGTCTTGTTTATTTATAAGTCTTGGGGACAAGACTTGTTTAAGTGGAGGGGTTTGTCATGTCCTTGGACTTAATTGTAAGAATTAGAAATTATAGGGTTTAAATTGTAGTTTTTATATCTTATGGACTATAAATAGTCAGCTAGGGATGCAATTGAATTATCAGAAATATTATTATCAAATTGGAATTTTTCCAATTTCCTTCTCTTCTCCGTTCTACCCCCCAAATCAGAACCCTAATTCCTCGAGCCATCTTCTAATTCTCCTTTTCTGTAATTCCGGCCGCCCCCAAGGCCCCTAGTCGTGACACCCTGTTGGTTGAATTCTTTGTCTCCCTTCTCTGTAGCATTTGGCAAGCCAGAAACCTTGCACTTCCAACAGAAAGCAACAACACGGTGGCAGGGGCGGATTCAGGGTGGGGAGCACTGGGGGCACGTGCCCTCTCTGGAGTGGGCCCACCTTAGAGGATTTTATTTATATTTATTAATTTTATTGTTCTAAAATTATAAAAATCATTATTAATTAGGTCAAGTACTTGGTTGGGAGAATTAATATGAATGGGACTTTAAAAGATATTAATATTTCATGTTTAAGAATTCAAAAAGCTCACTAATTGATCCGTAGAAAAAAAAAAAACTCTGTTTTTGAAAGGGATTATATATGTTAATTAAAATTTGACTTCTTTCGAGGGAAAAAAAATTTTAAGAGCAGAAAAAACATTTGAAAATTTAAAATTTTACTTTTATATCATACTTAGTGATATGTGTTTACAAAACTTTGTTCTCCAATTAATTTATTAAATCAATAAGAATGTATGAGACAAATATTTGTTTAATACGAAAATAATTTTCACTAGCATCTTTTATTTTTTTAAAAAAAAAAAACTATGATATCAATACTTGACAATGTTAATGTGCCCCAGTGAGATTTTTTCCTACCTCCGTCACTGTCGGTGGGTTATTGTTCTCCTCGCTAGCCGAGTTCTAAATGATTTGACTTAGTAATTATAGTCGGGTTCCGACGTTACCATAAAATAAAATATTTTAGACCAAAATGTATTTTGTAATTTTCTTGCCAAGGAGGATCCAATATCATAAATTTACATTATACAAGAAAAGTTAACCGATCAAAGTCGCTGACTACTAATTGTGTATTTATAACTCAATTAGCAAATTAGTCACTATTGTTAGTATATTGAAGAAAACAAATAGTGATTGGTACGAGAAAAAAAAAAAAAAAAGAAGAAATCAACTCGAACAACGGGACAAAATTGGATAGTAAAATGAATGAATTGTGATTGACAATAACAAAATTGAGAATAAATACAAAATTTACAAATGCTATGCAATCACACCAACGGAGCTCCTCCACTAATGCGGATGCGGGGCTCCATAATTCACCCGATACCGGATCCGGGCTCCCTAAGCTAATTAGTAGTAATAATCATATTCACAAGGTACAAAAATCTATGGCGTAATTAACTCGAGACAAGCACAGATCCTTCGTAGATGGTATTCAGCCGGAGCTTGAAGGAACGAACAACCATTTTGGCCCGTTTAGAAGAAAACCTTTGCAATTTCCTCGCTGACCCGGATCCAGATGCCTGAAGACCCGGTGTACTGCTCATGGGTTGAAGAACCGGTGGCTGCCGATGATGATGCACTTCTTCCGCCACAACGACCACCGGCGAAATCCGGGCTTTGCTCTTGCCCCGCCGGGCGTTCTTGCCGTAGGACTGGATTCCGGCGCTGGCCTTAACGGCCAAAGCCGCCATATCCGGGCCGGTGAGCCTAGAATTCAATTTGGAAACGGGCAAGACGAAGTAAATCTGAGCCGGCTGGAGAAACTCGGCGGAGCCCAGTTTCGGGATGAATTCGTCGAAGGCCAAGCTGTCGGAATTACAGAGAAAAACATCCGGTTGGGAATCAAGAATCTGAGATGCCTGAATTGGGAGAGGATACTGCCGCCATTCTCCACTTAGAGAAACAACGTTGGCGAAGGAAAAATCGTTCTTGACGGATGCACGGTTGCTACTTGAATTTCCAGAAGAATAACTTATACCCATGAAAATTCTGACGTTTGAGAATTGAGGAATTCTGATCTGGGAATGAATGAGTGAATGAATTGTATGAAAGGATGAGTGGAAGGAGTGGTTGTTATATAGAAATGAGGAAGGAAAGCGACGTCGGATGTGGGCGGTGGGCCCGGCGGGATATTTGCCAACGCGGTGACGGAAGCGAAGCCGTCAGAGGTGGTTTTTTTTGTGTTTCTGTTGTTTTGTTTGTTCACTTTCTGGGCAGCCCACTTTTGTTTTGGATACTACTATTCTTTTTCTAGACTTCTACTTTTTCAGTCCATTTTGCTTTGAGCTCACGCTTCGTACTTTCGCTTCACTTGTAAGTAGTACTATTTATTTGAGGGAATTGCAAAATGTACCACAAAATTTTTTTCATCTTATCAAAACCCAGACCGTTCATTAACTTGTCTGACATTTTCATTTTAAGATCATCGTATTACGAATGGAATGATAATTGAGAGACGATTTGATTGGAGGAATGGAACAAGGACCAGGATTAATTGGATACAAATCACAAGAAAACATTATCTGTGCTTTATCATTATTTTGAAAACTGATAAGTATGATGAAACATCAAAGTGATTTAGATACAGTGACTGATGCGTAAATTTATGGTCATCAGTTTACGTGATACTAATAACTATTTTTTAAAAATTAACCAAGTCATCTATATATTAGTCATAATTATACTAAAGTCATTGTGATTTTTCACTTCATTTATCATATATATGGCTATGCACCATCATAACAAGATGTTTTCATTGATTCTAATAGAACGCATGTCTGGATCAACACAGAAAAAAAGAGAGTTAAGAATAAACTATTGATTCGTTTAATTATAGGAAAATTTTATTTTTATAGTTATAAAAAGTATCTCCTCTGTCCTAGAAAAAAAAAAAGACACACAAAGACAGTTCTTTATTTCTAGGGCATTCTTACTTTTGTGTTTTCATGGGGAAAAATCATTTAATTTAAGGACTTATTGGATGTTGTCCACTATAATGTACGTTACATAATAGATATACGAAGACATTGGATAACTTAACAGATTGAATAAATAATTAAAAATTATCATTCTTCTAATTCGACAATTTTATCATTGTCTTCTTTGACGTATTAAGCAATTAAAATTTGATCATATAATCAATTCAAATCCAATCATACACAAGTGTGTCTTTACTGCTGCTTGTTGCCTTCTAACCCTAATAACATGATGCAACTGATCTCTAAAACTAAGAGTGTTTTGAGAAAAATAGTGAAACTTGAGGGGGCTGTCTGCAATTAAGCTCTTTGGAAAGTCAAACTAGTAGAGTATTTCCACTCTTCTCTCTGTGTGAAGTGTGAACACCTCAGCAATGACGTACGTGGGAAATAATTCTTCGGTCAGAGTTTGACCCCCGGGAAGCTTCATCTCCAAGGCTTCATCTGATACCGGAAAAATGAAAACAATGATTAAGAAAAGATAAAAATTCGTTACCAAAAAAATTAAAAAAATATAAAGTAAGAGAGGATCCGATTTTGTTAGTGCAAGAGCACATTTATTTGTTGATGGGATTGTGATATAGGGAATGGGGCACATAGTTTTATCAGAGTTTGTTTTCGATGTCAATGTTATTTGACTAATTAATTATATCACTCGAGACTATAATAAATATAATATGCATACGCCACCATTATTTGAATTCCTACAACAAAGAATTTAACACGTTTCTTACTTCTCTCTTGTATGAATATTCAAATTTCACTCATTAATATGACAAAACTGATTTCGGAAACAAGATCAATTCAAAGTCACATTCGTTGATTATGTGTTGTAGTACGTACAACCGTACAACGTATCACTTTATTTAATATCCCGTTTTAAAATTATTGTCCAATTTGAGATTTTATTATTAGTGTAATTTGAATTAGAAATGAAAACTCAAACTGGATAATAATTATGGGATGGAAAGAGTGCAATTCTTTTTTGAGACAAAAAGCTTTCTTATTTAGAATATATTTGAAACGCGGAAGCTTTAGGAGGAGTACTATATAGTTTAGGTCCGATGGTTCATTATCCAAAATGTTTATTTTTTAAATGTAAACCACAAAAAAAATTTTAGTACCAAAAAAGGGGGGAAAAAAAAAGAATTAACATGTAACTAATCTTTTTTCCCCTCAAGAACTTTCCCCGCTTTTTAGCATTTTCAACATATTCATCCACCGTATTCCGGATCACCACATAGCCTTTTTCCCCCTTTTCTTTTGGATTTTCCATAACTAATTAATCGTATCTCTCGTGGGCTTCTTCTGTCTTCCTCTTGAATCTGCACTGTTATGAATTCTTAAGGAATTTTTGTTGCTCACATTGTTTATCTTTATTTAATTTCCCGAGTATACATTGATTTTTTCTTTCTCATAATTTTTTTTAGAAAAACACACTCAAATTTGCAATTTAAGATTGATGTCTTTGGAAGTTGGAGCAAATGTTTCTAGTTCACTTCATGATGATGATCATGAGGGGGAAAAAAGTGGAGTTGAAGAGAGTGGTGATGAAGGAGAGGACAGCATGCATAGAGCCATGAGTGAAGCTTCTTTTTACACCACTCAAGATGAAGATGAAGATGATGAACATCACCACAAGATTCAAGTTGGACCTAAATTGACACTCAAAGAACAATATGAAAAGGACAAGGTATATTGCTATTTATTATTACTCTTCCATTTTACTTCTTTTTAACGGGTTAATTGTTTAGGTTGAAAATTGAACTCCTAATCTCATGATTACAATCTTATCATGTGGCGATTTGATAGGACGACGAGAGCTTGCGAAGATGGAAGGAGCAACTCCTAGGAAGTGTTGACTTAAATAATGTTGAAGGTACTACTAAATAAAACATATTATTATTCTATTTCTTTTGCTTATTTTGCTTTATTCACTTCTCTATGGGAAAAAAAAAAACTATTTTGCTTGTCACTAATGATCAAAGTTCATCTCACTATGATTTATCCCATTTAAAAGAGAATTAGTATAAACTAATATGTGCCTGATTAGGAATAATCGATCAAGATCATCAATCCGAAGCAAAAAAAAAAAACTATAATTTATGGGTTGTTACCTAATTCCCATTTTTCATTTGACTGCCCTCTACACAGAAGTGGCAGAACCAGAAGTGCAAATACTGAGCCTCTCAATCTGTTCACCTGGAAGACCTGAAATTGTTCTTCCCATTCCTCAAGATGGGAACCCTCAAGGGTTGTGGTTTAGCTTGAAAGAAGGAAGCCATTACAACTTGAAGTTCCATTTCCAAGTCAGCAATAATATTGTTTGTGGCTTCAGGTACACCAACACTGTCTGGAAATCTGGTCTCAAAGGTAATTATTAGTTTACTGTTTTTTTTTTTTGTTTTTAGGTACAACGAAACTGACATTAATTTACAAGTAAATAAAACTTATACAACATACATCTTCCATTACATGAATTTAAAAGTAAATAAAACCTATACAACATACAGCTTCCATTGAATCAGTTTGAAATTTTGATAGTTTTAATTTCTAAAAGAAATAAAGTATAAATTGAGTCATTTATACCAGCTACTATTATCTCAATGTAAAACAAAATGAAATGACATTTTTTTTTTTTGGTTTCCCTACGATGCTGTAATAGAGAAATAAAACAAGATTTCAATGCTGACAAAACAAGAAAGAAAAAAAGAAGATGAAAGAATGGTAAAGTCTTACAATTTTACGTGGAAAATGTTCAGTGGTTGGCCGGAAAGCGATGATCGGAACATTTAGTCCGCAGAAAGAAGCTTACACTTACGAGATGCCGGAAGAGATTACACCCAGTGGATTTTTCGCCAGAGGTTCTTATTCTGCCAGATCAAAGGTACCAAATCCACTCGTCCCTTATTCATAATTCACTTTTTTGAGCTTGATTATTTATATGACTTATTATTAGAAAAATTAATTGGGAAAAAGAAAAATGATGATCTAAGATTAAATTGGCATTGGGTTGATTTTGATTCCCTTTCGTTGGCTTCACTCCAGTCGTGTTAATGTTCATTGTTAGTTTGTAAGTACTTTCACGGTGAACTCATCACTTGTTTGGCCAACAACATTGGGGCTTATAGATCTCTATCCAACTGTTGAATTGGAGGATTAATTGAATGTTTATTTTTTCTGGGATGGACAGAGAACATTTGTTTATTTTCTTTTACAAATTAAGATATTACCGTTATATCTTAATTATCACATTGATTTTTGTATTTGATTATGTTATTTTGTATTCTATCTGTACCAAAAAAAAAGAAAGAAAAAAAGTTATAAAAATTTGTTATACTGTTTCAATTTAACAAATGTGATTTTTATTTTGGGACAAAGTGACATTGTGTCCCCCCAACTTATCATACTGATCTGTTGTATTCAGTTTGTTGATGATGATAACAAGTGCTACTTGGAAATCCATTATACGTTCGATATTCGGAAGGACTGGGCAGATCCCTAGCTATATAACTCTACGATTGAAAGCAAAAGTTTTCTTGTTCCTTTCTTCTGTCATTCCCTTCTTCTATGAAGATTGAAATATTTTTTTCGGCCTTTGCATTTTGGTATAAAGAATGGAGAGAACTCTTCCCCGAATTTTGGTCAATGGATCGTGAAATTTGTAATTGTATGTTACAGTAGAGCTATCTATCGGTTTATATTGATAATTCTATTTTTGAAATTTTAGATCTCGGGAAATTATTATGAAATTTGAGGGAGTTTTTGAGTTAAAAAATAGTTCAAAAAAAGGAGTAGAGAGAAATATAGGTCGAATTTTGGAGAAGATAAAAATACCGAGATCGAATTTTCAAAATCCGACCTTGCCTTAAAATCGGATTTCACAAATCTGACTTTATGTTAATAACAAAAATTAATTAACTTAATCAAGATTAAAAGAAAATTGGATTTTTAAAATCCGATCTTCGTAAATAAAAAATAATATTCGAAAAAAATTAAGTTTTTTTTTCCCAAAAATAAAATTTTGACCGAGTTCGGATTTTCAAAATCCGATTTTACTGTTCACTTTTTTCATATTTTCAAATTTTCAATTAAATTTTCAGATTTTCAAATTTTCCCGCCCTTCAATTTTTTTTTAAAAAAAACAAGGTCGGATTTTGAACTAATTTTTAAGGGATAAACTAATTTTTAAACTAGTCAAAATATGTCACAATAATAACAAAAACTATTTTTCATTCATATAAATATAAAATACAATAATTAGTTTAGTTTTGACTAAGTTCGAATTTGCTAAATTCGACATTAAACAGAATTTTTTTCTAAAAAATGTAGATTGGGTTTTAAAAGTAAAACTGATACCGATATTTCAAATTTATAATTCTTGCAATGCTCATACCAATACAAGGAGCATTAGGAACCCGATGATGGAAGAAAAAAATTTAGATTTCTAAAATCTCACATAATAAAATAAATCAGATTTTGGGAATCCGACTTTCAACGTAACTTGGATATTAAAAAATCTGAATTTGTTGATTAAAACGGATTCAACAAATCTGATTTTAGAGAAAAATCGGATTTTTTAAATCCGTTTTTCGATGTAAATCCGACCTAAATCAAAAACCAGATTTCTGAATTCCGGATTTTCCTTTACATCAGATTTTAGAAATCCGATTTTTTCTTAAAATCGGATTTGTGGAATCCGGTTGTATTAGCAAATTCGGATTTGTGAAATCCGATTTTATTGAAATTCGGGTTTGTAGAATCCGATTTTCTTTATAGATTCGCTTTAACTGAAAATTCATATTTCAAATCTGATATTGTGTCAATATAATCCGCAAAAATAGATGTATCAATGTTAGCATTACTACGTGTGTGGTATTTTATAGCATTAGTACGTGTGTTTTGTACTGAGTAACGGAGTTAACAACACTTTCTAACACTAATACATATGTATCACTAGTATGTGTGTTATCTATTATTATTAATAGATAATAATATTAATAATAATAATCTGTAACAGTACTAATGATAATATGTATCAGTAGTACAAGTGATATCTAATGTATAACAGTATTAATAGTATTATGTCATATTAGTTCAGATGATAAATAATGATTAACAATAAAAAAATAATATTAATAGTAATGTGTATCAATAGTAATAATAATATGTAATAGGTAACAATGTTAATGGTAGTAATGTGTAACAGTGTTAATGATAATTTATATTACTAGTACATGTGATGTATGATGTATAACAATGTTAATAATAATAAGTAATACTAGTATATATGTGATGCTTATGTCGTAGTAGTATTAATAATACTATGTAACACTAATCTAGATAATATCTAATGACTAATAGATTTAACAGTAATAAGTAATACTAGTACCAATGATATGTAGTGAGTAATAGTATTAATGTACTATATAACACTAGTACCTATAAATAGTACATAATACTAGTACAGATGAATTATAATGAATTAATTTAATATAAATTCTTAACAGTTTTAATAGTACTACACAACGTTAGTAATATATTTTTTTCATCAATTTAATGCAAATTCTTAATTATTAGTATTATAAGATTTTATTATTACCATATCTAATACAATTTTTTTTAAAATTTTTTTGAAAGTGGATAGGTCAATTTAATGTGAATTCCTATTAAAACTCGGAAAAATTTTCAATGTTTTCTACACTTAAAGATATTTTTTTAATAAAAAGAGGTTCGGATTTTCAAAATCCGATTTTACTGTTCACTTATTTTCAAGTTTTCAAATTTTTAAATAAATTTTCAAATTTTCCCGCCCTTCAATTTTTTTAAAAAAAAAACAAGGTGCACTGTTTATTATTTGACCACAAAAATATATATTATTTTTCACATGTATTTTCTGAAAAAAAAATATTATTTTATTAAGTCAGATTTTCAAAATCCGATTTACTAATTTAATTAGTAGTTCGGATTTTTTAAATCCGATCTTCATATTTTGCTTTACAAAAAAAAAAAAAAACTTAGATCTCTCTACCTCTTTTTCTAGGTAATTTTTAACCAAAGCACCCAATTTGAGGAAATTTATACTCGGGTTCTGTTCTAAGAGAAACTTTCACTTATTGAGATGTTCACGACTTACAATTCAGTAAGGAAAATTTAACGCACAGGGTGTGATATTGTGATAGGAAAAAAGAAAAGTTTTTTTTTAATGATCAAAATACAGCACATAATGATTCCGACAACTTGATTAATTAGTGTCTAAGATCCAACTGTTGTGAATTGTGATGAAGCCTCCATGAAAGAGATTTGAGTACATTTGCAAAGAAAACTTTTATTAGACAATTGAAAGAAAAACTTGAAATGCACATCATGCAATGATTAAACGTTCATGTTAGATCAGTTGAGCTACAACTTTATTCTAACTCAAATCTAGCTCTATTGGAGAACTCCTTTTGAACTAGATCAGTTTGAGATTTCACTTTTAATACAATTTGAACTAGAAATGAAATTCTAAACTAGATAATAATTATGAGACGGAAGGAATATTTATTTTTGGAAAGGAAGGAGTAATATTTTCACGGTAGACACTTGCTCTATAAGAAAATCAAATTAAAGAGTTGGCACCAACATTAAACAAACAACTCTTTCAAAGACGAGAAAGTTCGGAAATGAAAAGGAATGGAACTTCCAAATCTGTGTGATAGCTACAGCTAGGCATATGGGGTAGAGTGCAAGGCTGGAGACTCTTGAAATTGACATCGAAGTTTGCTATTTTGTTCAACTTTGATGCTGATACATCACCATTCCTTTCTTGTTGTAATAATTTATTCTCTTTTTGTCCCAAAATAATTGACCAGCTTAATTTTTTTATTTAAAATATAATATATTATATTAAAAATAAATTTTAATTGAATAATTATTTTTAGACCCAGATATTGCTTGGTTTCAACTTTCAAGTACTATCAAGATTTTTTGCAATTATACTTTTGTAACTACATATGTTAAAAATTGTAAGACTGAGATAAGAAATTTGGATAAAATATAATGCTGAAAGATTGTAACTAAAATTTCAGACATTTAGGTTCTGTTTGTTTGATTTTTTTATGGTTTTTTCAGTTTATTTTATTAATAATTGTCTCATCTCAGCATACTTTTTTATATTTCCAACACATTTTTTTACATTTCTAATATAAAAAACATTAAAAACACACACTAAAAAACGAAACAAATGTATCCTTAAATATCAACCGGGTTTATTTTTCTTTAGAGGAAGGGGAAAAAAAACCTGATTAGGATTGAAGAATTAATAGACTCATGACAAAATTGTGAAAAGATTTCTTTCACAAATTCCAAGCGAAAGGTGGTCACAAAGTTACAACCTAAATATGCTTCGAATCCACTCAAAATGAAGACAGTGTTATCCAGAGAAAAACCTTTAATGATATTCAATCAAAATAAGCATTTATGCTTAAAGAAACAAAAAGTAAAGCTATTTGTCTTTTTTTTTTCCGAGAAATAAAATCACTGTAACAGTAGGGAACTAATGGATTAGCTGGCTAAAACCTGAGTAATCATCTATGATCTATGGTCAGTGGTCACTCATGCAACAGACATAATCACTGAATGTAACCCATAAATTTTTTTTTAAAAAAAAATTTAAAATGTTATAATCACTAAACCTAATAAAATTTATAAGATAAAGAAAGTATAATCATAAGGCCTAAACATATCTTAAGCAGTCCACGCCAATCACTCTAAGCAGTCTACAAATGTTCAAACCAATTTTTTATTAGATTAAAAATACTATTAGACAGATACGTCGTCCAGCTAAATTCAAAATCACTAAACTCATCCATCATTGTTTTAATAGTAGCCCATTTCATTGACTTCAAGTATTCACTAATATTCGGCATAATTCATGTTTAAACCGATTGGTGATGCTAAAAACTCATAATAATTATGGCTAATAACACTTCATTTGTAAACTGAAAAAGTAATACACGTTTACACAAAGCGAATAAGAAATCTCTTATTGTACCAAGGTAGTTAGGCTACTAGCTATCACTAATATCCCAACACAAATGACAAAACAACCAGATTTCTCGTATAATCAATTCAGTTGATGAAAATATTTTCAGTGAATTCATGACAAATATTTAACAACAACAATAATAGGTTTGTTTGTTTCGTTTTTTTATTATGTGTTTTTAGGTGTTTTTTATATTGAGAATATTAAAAAATATGTTAAAAATATAAAAAAATATGCTGGGATGGGACAATTATTAATAAAATAAAATAAAAAAACCATAAAAAAATCAAACAAACAGAGCAAGATTTCTTTTTTCTTTTTCTTTTTTTCTTTTAAATTTTTATTGTGTGTGTGTTTTTTCCCACAGATGCCACCGCAGCGCTACTCAATAGAACAGCATTTTTCTTGTACAGTTGACCCCAGTTCCCTCCTCTATAATACTCCATTTCTGAAAGGCCCCCATTGCCAATAATAATCTCTCCAGCTTTTCTGTCTGAATTTCCTCAGGCCCCAGGTTCGTGTCTTCATCCCCAAAATTTCTCCTTTTATGTATTTTGTTCTTCAATGCTCAAAGTTTACTTCCCGCAATGCAGCATTTCCCGTTTTTTTTTTTTTTTTTACTTGGTTCTGTTTCTGCTTGCTTCTTTTGGGTCTCTAGTTTCTGCATGATTTCTTGTAGATCTGATTTTCCTTTGAACTCATTGCATAATTTGTTTATTAAACTTAGGAACCTTTTCCCTGATTTGATGTAAAGCTCAGAACTTTGCTGCTTTTAAAGCTTTTTGAGATCCATCTTCACTCTACTCTTGAGCTTCGTTTGTGGTACTTTCTTATAACATTTTGTAAATTGCTAACATGCCGTAAGTTGTTGAAGATCTATGTGCTTATTTAATTGGAATTACTTGTTTGTTTAGCTGGAAATGGAGCGTCATGACCTCAATTTTCACAATATATAGTGAAATTTCACGTGGGCTGGACTTATTTCTTTCTTGCTGAATTCATGGTTTCATTTTTAGCTTGAGATTTAGATTTCTTGCACATTATACTAAATTGGTTATGAGATTGTGAAATGAAACTGCTGTTGCAGTATGAAGATCTGTGTTAATAATATAATTTGCCCGATTTGATGTTTGGACTGAACCAGCTTATTTTGCTGAAGTCCAGTTGATTTCAATGCCTTAATGTGGATGTTAAATTTGGTGAAATTGTCTCTGATCTGGATCTTTTTTCAAAGATTTCTAACTGGGTTTGCAGTTCTGAACTTGTTAGATCTCTATTCACGTATACGCCAACTTGATTTGTTAGTCTTAGATCTGATTCTGGTTGGCTGTTTAGTGTTTACATTTAATATTCATTCTGCTTAAATTGATCAGTTGGCATAATGTTTTGATGAAGGTGAAAAATGGGAAGTAGAATCATTCTTTTCGCCATCTTTTCGGTGTTGGCGATTGCGTCTTCCTCATCAGTGAATGCAGCCACTGCTAAATCTCCAATTTCCAGTCCAGCTCCAGCCCCAGCCCCAGAGTATGTGAACCTCACACACTTATTTTCCTTTGCTGGACCATACAAAATCTTCCTTGGCTATCTGGAATCAACCAAAGTGTTGGACACTTTCCAAAACCAAGCTAATGATACCACAGAGGGCATTACCATCTTTGCACCGAATGATGCTGCCTTCTCCAAGCTTAAGAACCCGTCGCTCGCTAATCTTACCCAAGACCAACTTAGATCAGTCTGCCTTTACCACGCCTTAGCACATTACTACACCCTAGCCGATTTCCAGAAACTCAGCCAATCAGGGCCGGTTACCACATTTGCTGGTGGACAATACAGCCTAAATTTCACCGACAACAGTGGAACAGTGTTGATCGACTCTGGGTGGAGTAAAACAAAAATCAGCAGCAGTGTTAGTGCAACTGATCGCGCTGCTGTGTACGAAGTCAACAAGGTCCTCCTTCCCGAAGCGATTTTTGGCACTGATATTCCGCCAACCTCAGCACCAGCACCGGCACCAACTCCAGAAACAGCACCTACCGCCGACAGTCCTGCTGCTGATGGTGGAAGTAAGTCCGCCCCTGCTTCTTCAACTAAGCCATCTTCCTCTTTCAAGATCAGCAGCTTGAGTGCATTAACTCACTTGGTTTTCGCGGTCGCAATTGGAGGATTTTTATTTTTGTGAGGATTCATTTATTCAAAAGTTTAATTTATATTGACAGAGAGGAATACATTCATGCCTGGTCCGCTTTGCAGTGTAATTTTTTTGTGTGACATTGAATTGATTCAAAAGTGACTAGCAGTTTTTGCTGGCGCCATTGTTTAAAGACCCCATTTTTTTCATAGTGTTATTGTAGGTTTGTGATATATTTTGAATGGTGGGAGTTTAATTTGCGTTCTTGATTCCTTTGTTCTGAAAGAAAGATTCAACTTTTAGATTGATGTTTTTTTTTGGGATAAAATACACTTCCTCGTTTCTACAATCTCCATTTTCTTGTCTTGCTTCTTTCTTTTGATTTGGATTGAAGTGCAAAATAACATGCATAGAACATTAAAGTAAAACTATAACTTGTACTCTTGTTGATACATTATCCAAAACAACATGATTAGGGAATAAATGTGATATGGAATGATGTTAAAATGTGTATAAATAACACGTCCCTCCATTGTGTTGTGAATCTTAAATAACGTTACCATCGTTCCATAGTCGATATTGCGTGGTGAATCTTAAAGAATACTACTACTAGACATATTTCGTTATTAGACTATGTTACTCCATCCATCTTGAAATTATTGTTCAGTTGTGATTTTTTTTAGTACATTTTGAACTAAAACTTAACATTTAAACAGAACAATAATTTTGGGACACAAGGAGTATTACTAAAACAATTCAACAAATTAATACTGTTGGGATTGTAGTTCAAAACTTATATTTTGTGATTTTATCTCTCTACACAATTTCAATTATATTGTCCTGTGAACTTACAAAAACATGATTTTACTTGGGAAAAAATGTCGTTCCTACCTAAAACTTTGCCCTCATCGTCAATCATACTCAATAGATTTTCGGTTAGTCAACTTTACCCTAATGTTTGAAATTTTCGCCAATTTCATCCAATCGGCCCATTTTCCGTCCAAATTAACGGATCTCCGTTAGTTTTTTAATAAAATAATAAATTTAAATACAAACACCCCAGTAGTTTTTAAAAATTTTAAAAATAACTCCTAAAATATATAAAAATAACAAAATAGTCCCTTTTCACTTTTTTATTTCATTTTTTTCTATTTTGTTCCATTTCTCTCAACTACTTTTAATGACCATAAAAGTATATTATATGAGTTTCAAAAAAATATTTATTAATTTTCAAACTCTACCGTAAAAATTAATCTTTGTATAGTTGTAACACATGATTGTATTTATATAAGCATGTTAATCTTTTTAATAATATAGTTTAGCAATAAAGACACTATTTTTTTGATTTATTTTATTCTTCCTAAAATAAAGATTAAAAACATTAAATCAAAATAATATTCCGCATAAAAATAAAATATTAGCTCAAATAAAAAATAATATATTAGTATAGTTTAGTGTATTACAATTTAACTAGAGAGACTATATGGCATAATATAATTTATAAAAACAATATTTATACTTATCAAATGCGAGGATTTAACATTTTGTAATAATTATTTGAGATATTAATATATCTTACTATAGAGGAAGTCTTACAAGTTTATTCTAGATGATTTTAGTTTAAAATAAATGAATGGAGATAACAATATAGTAATAAGTAGTTGTGATAGAAAATAGGTTTTAGATTCAAGAAAGAAAACTTATGTTTGGAGGATTTTTTTAAGGTTTTAATTATTTTATATTTTAGTTATTTTTTTATGAATTATATCAATGCAAGTTATAGTCTCTTGAGTAAAATTGTAATACACTAAAATATATTAATATTTTTTTTTAATTTGAGCTAATATTTTATTTTTATGTGGAATAATAGTTTCATTTAAATATTTTTAATCTTTATGTTAGGAAGAATAAAATAAATCAGAAAAATAGTGTCTTAATTATTTTATATTTTAGTTATTTTTTTATGAATTATATTAATGCAAGTTGTAGTCTCTTGAGTAAAATTGTAATACACTAAAATATATTAATTTTTTTTATTTGAGCTAATATTTTATTTTTATGTGGAATATTAGTTTCATTTAAATACTTTTAATCCTTATGTTAGGAAGAATAAAATAACTAGAAAAATAGTGTCTTTATTGCTAAATTATATTATTAAAAAAATTAACATACTTATATAAATACAATCATGGGTTACAACTATACAAAGATTAATTTTTACAGTAGAGTTTGAAAATAAATAAATATTTTCTTAAAACTCATATGATAGACTTTTATGGTCATTAAAAGTAGTAAAGAGAAATGGAATAAGATAGAGAAAAATAAAATAAAAAAGTGAAAAAGGACTTTTTTGTTATTTTTATATATTTTAGGGGTTATTTTTTAAATGTTTAAAAAAACTGGAGTGTTTTTGTAATTAAATTTTTTATTTTATTAAAAAACTAACGGAGATCCGTTAATTTAGACGGAAAATGGGTCAATTGGATGAAATTGGCAAAAATTTCAAACATTAAAGTAAAATTAGCTAATCTATTGAATATAATTGACGACGAGGGCAAAGTTTCGGGTAGGAACGACATTTTTTCCATTTTACTTGTATTTTGTTGAGCTCCACGTCGTTGAGAGAAAAATATATTTATTGATCCAAAAGTAAGTTTTAGAAACACATATAATACAATACCTAGAAAATATTGCACAAAACCGTTTCTACATTTTCTTGAACCAGGATCCCACTATCTTATCTTACTGATCATACTCTTGTCCAAAATGTCAAATCCAATTAGAAAAGAACATAGAAAACTGTTTTGACTTATCCCCGAACATTCTAGATCTTACTAGATCTTTTTTTAAATATTATATAGTATTAGTTGAGTAAATTAAATTTTCTTATGAAAAAAAGAAAAAAGCATCATAACTAATAAATATATATACTTGGGAGGGAGAAAGCCTCATTTGTATAAAATACAAATCAACGGTTTATTTAATTGTAAAAGCGGTTATATTTCTGTCATGTTTGTCACCACCTCACCAAAAATCCCGTTTTCAAGAACCAAATAGAAAATAGTAGGTAATTTCACTTCTAAATAAACAAAAAAATTACTGGGTGAAGAAAGCAAGTAACAAGTGTGCGTCTCTGTAGTAGCTCCTGGGCAAATAAGTAAAATGAAGTTCTTTTCCTTTGCGTTCGTAGTACTTCAATTGTAAGTGACTCATTGGCTTATGCACCAATCTTTAGACCAATGTCTCTCCTCACACATGTGAATAATTTTAATCTATAAAAAGAACATATGGATTAATCCCAAAAAATATTTTAAAAAATACATCCCAAATTAAACTTAAAAACCACATGATTTAATGAACATAATCCCATGATAATTATGAAATATCTCACATTGAAATATTAAATTTTGATTCTCCTAGTTTTCTAGCTCGTATTCAACCACAAAATATCTCAGGATATGTGAGAGAAGAAGGATCATTGGCATTTTTGCTTTTTTTGACTTCTATTGTATAATATAAACACAAAATTCAAGTTGACATGGGAGGTTCTCTTAGATCAATGCCGTTGACAACTTAAACTTTCACCTAAAGATTAAATTACCTAAAATAACAAAACTACCTTGGATTTATTTGGTGACAGAGCTTGCCGTAGACGCCGTGGTTTTCTTCATCTAAAAAAATAGAACAAAAAGAGTACTTTCATTTTCTTTTGAAATGTAAAATATGATTTTTTTTCTATTATCATAAATTGAAAATGAAATAGGGAAACCCAGAGTCTTGATCAATTCATAACAATAATATCCACTCTATACACATCCATTAAAGCTTTGTCCTAATATCAAATCAAAAGCATATGAATACAGAATAACAAATTCAATGGGTTGGAATATTTAAGGTTTTGATATTCAATAGTACACTTTTCCATGAAAGCAAGATTCCATCTTTCAGTTCAAGCACTCAACTAATCTTTAACTCACAAATTATCCATATGAAGTAACGACGCAAACAAACTAAAAAATCAATAAAAATTACAGGAAATTGTACCTCTCTCACTGAAGTAGGGGGCGGATTCCTAACGATTTTCTCATGCTTTCCCTCCAGTTTTGACGCAACAACACTAAATACCACGTTTCCTTTTTTCTCAACGATCATTTGAATTTTGTTTCTTTAATTTTAAATTTAAACAACACCTCCCTCAAAACCTCTGATGGCATGATGGCCCCCGATAATTCCAATAACATTAAGAAGGATTGTCAACTTTTTCTTCATATTATGTAGAAGGTAAAAATAATCTAAGATTCTTTTTTCATTGAGGAAAATATTCAGACAGATAATTGCCATACACCATTTTAGTCCGAGGAGAGAGGCTCCTTATGAAAATCTTGTTTAATCTATAAGAACATCCAGGAATTCATCAAAGAAGACTGAAAAGTTTCAAACTTTATCAAAGCATCATATAAAATAAATAACATCCAATGGAAGCAAAAGAAACTGAAACATGGCCGGATTCAAGCTTACAGACAAACGAATTTGGTTCGGGCAACCTAAAGTTTGCAGCTCCTGCAGAAGCCTAACATCAAGAGATGCAGATCCATCTATTTGGAAGAATAGAGTATCCAACTGATACATTTAAAAACCAATAAACAACTTTCACATTTTGTGTGATTATGCGAAACACAAACAAAAAGTAAAGTCACAATTCAAAATACAAAATTGTTATCCCAAATTAATAACTTCAAATCGTTAGTGATGGAATAGCTCACAGAATTAAAACTTGAAAAAAAAAAAAAAAAAACCAGATTTTGAGTGCAGCGCACCTTGATGGCTCTGATTTGGAGCGGGAAGAGATTAAGTCGGTAAAAGAACATGCAAATCGTTGGAAGATTTTAGACAAATTCACATTTTTAACCCCAAATCCCAAGTCATTTCTTCAATTTGAAGATCTATTAATCGGATTGAACTAAAATCCAAAGCCTCACGCTAGCTATTTGTATAGTCCCAGGCCCAAATCAATTATTAGTGTCCACTAAATCAAAGCAATTTGGATAGAACTCCTTATTTTGGAAGAGCACAAAAAGTTATAGGATTTGACTGTAAAGTCCCAAAATATTTTCAGATGTTGTTGCCGGAACTATAACGGAAAAAAATTCAAGAAACATTATACGATGTGGAGAATCGGCCATTTGTGCCGTATGTCTTTTAGGTAAAATTATCGAATCTTTTTCAAATTGGTGGTTGGGTCTGCTTTAAGTCAGATCTGCATGATTTTTTGACCTCTTTTGATCAGCATCCTCCACTTCTTCTAAGGAGCCGATGATGAAGAACAAATTGAAAATTGTTTCCTCGCGGCGGCTTGATCTTCTTCTTCAATATTGTTCACTTGATCCACGTTTTCATTGCTAGCCAATTAACTGGCCGTTCATCCAATTCTCGGTGGTTCATCTTTAGCTTAGTCGGTCCCTTGTAGCTTTCTTCTCATTGATGATTCAGTCAGATCTGAATCTGTGTTGCTGTTATTTCTATTGCCGGCTTGTTACTGTTTCGGCATCGAATGAATTCCCTATTGTTGATGTCCCTTGCACTGATTTGAGTTTCACACGACCTCCTCATCTGTAGTATCCATTTAATTTTCCCGAAGCAATCGGCCAAGATTTATGATAAATTGGTTGATTTTTTGAAATTTGAAATGGGATTTTAATTTGGGAATTAAATCACCAGATCAAATCAAATCTATTTAGGATAGGATATGATGGAAATTTTTAGGAAACCACCTGACAGAAATTATTTTATACTAAAAATAGTTTTTGGCGGGAAAATATTAAACGTAAAGCTGATACATCTCTTTATTATATGTTGCTTTAATTAATTACAATAGATAAGAAAAACATACGTAAATTTGGAAACAGCAAAATAAATTGCTAAGCACACACTAAACTCTGCCCCTTGGGTGTGACCATGACCTCACTTCTGTCGTATTGCTGTTCTAGAAGCATCATCAGGTCTCTTCTTCCCAAACCCACTTCCCCACAGACCTTCCCACTCCGAAATCCACTCTCTTTTCCCTCTTCTTCTTATTCTTTTTCCCTCCTGAAGGTCCGATCAATGGCTTCCTCTGCGGCCGATTCATCTCCTTTCAAGAAGGTCCAAATTCAAAGGGATGACACCGTAAGTCTGTTTTTTATTTCTTTCTTCTTTTATTTTTTTTTTGTCTTCATTTTTGGTGTTTAAGATTCTTTTCCCATTTAGAAGTTTTGCGTAAATTGATCGAGGGGTTATTTATATTCTTTTTTATCTTATACAGTTTCAAGGAGTTCTAATAATATGTTTCTTCTGGATGTTTGGATGTTTTTGATTGGCTTTGACTTCTTTGTTTTATTTTTTTAAGGATTGGCTTTGACTTCTTGTTTTGCTATTGATGAGTCGGAATCGATAAGTTATTGAAGAACATAGAAAGGTTGCTAATGTATACAGTATTGAAGGGTTGCAAATGTGCCTAATAAATGTCAATTAAACTTCAAATTTCGGTGTGATTGTTTGATTGAGATGATAAAGAAATACAGGATAGTTGATATGGGGTGTGGCAGCTTATTGTTTAGTTGAGGTGAAGAAGCTGATTTTTTCCCCTTTTCCGTGACTGAAGAATTAAGATGATTGTACTTGATTTCTTCTTGCTGATTGTACTCAACTTAAGAGTTGTACTTAATTGGTTTCCTGTAGCCTCTTATAGCTTCCCTGAGTTTTCTTTTTCCAGTGTTTCCATGTGTAAGCACTAGCTTATATTTGAGCCTCAGTAAGCAATAAGCATAGTCTTTCCCTTCCCTCCTGTCGCTTCTAAATGTTGATTATGGTGTGTGTTTATTTGGACAGACATTTGATGCCTATGTAATTGGGAAAGACGACGCTCCTGGTATTGTAGTGGTGCAAGAGTGGTGGGGTGTAGATTTCGAGATTAAAAACAATGCTCAGAAGATTTCTCAGTTTGATGGAGGCTATAAGGCACTTATACCCGAGTAAGATTCTAGTCCAAATAGAATAATTTCTCTTCCAATTTCTCCCACTGCTTTTCTCTTAATCTTCATATTTATTATCTCTTCCATAGCTTGTACCGTGGGAAGGTTGGTCTTGAAGTTGCTGAAGCACAACACTTGATGGATGGCCTTGACTGGCAAGGAGCTGTGAAGGATATTGAAGCTTCAGTTAACTGGCTCAAGGCAAATGGTTCCAAAAAGGTATTTTCTGTTTTTTTTGTTCTGATATCTTTTGGTGATGGGATTCACATGCTTGTTAGACCCAACTGGGTCTCAGAAATTAGAAAATTGCTTAAGGAGTTGCAATGTTTTCTACTGATCATAGTTATTTAGTTGCTTCTCTTTGGAATATAGTTAAGTAGTCTAATGGCCTGCTTTGTTGATTCAGGTTGGTGTAACTGGATACTGCATGGGTGGGGCTCTTTCCATTGCTAGTTCAGTTTTGGCCCCTGGAGTCGATGCTGTTGTAGCCTTCTATGGAGTTCCTTCACCAGGTCTTGCCGACCCTGCTCAAGCCAAGGCACCTGTGCAGGCTCATTTTGGTGAGCTTGACGGTTTTGTTGGATTCTCAGATCCAGAGGTATTTTCTTGTATATGCTTTGAATTGAGACTCCAATTTCAGCTCTTATGCATTACTACATCGGCTTTGTTGCTTGTACTTGCGACAATATAAATAATTTTGGGGGCATGACTTTTATGCAACCTGGAAGGAACAAATAACTATGATTGGTTCTTCCCACATTGTTGAATTGATGAGATATTACCTGAATTCAAATAAGTTTGAACAGAATGAGAAATGAGAATTGCAGCTTACATTGTGATGATAAAGTTCCCTTGAAATTGAAAGGAAGCTGTCAACATGACCAACAATGATTGCTGGAGGTAAATGTTCAGAAGGATGTGTGGAGTGTAACACATTAGATAGTATAGTCATAATAATCCTTAAAGAAAACCTTAGATAGATTATGTATTGGATAAGAAATGAGCGTGAGGTGAGGTCATGTACTTAGGAGATCTATGATGCACTACTATGGGTATTATGCACCAAGCCTACTGTGCTGCACAAACACGATATGAAATTGGACTAACCATCTTCAGCTAATCAGGTTTTAATCCACCATACCATTGATTGCTTTAGTTGAACATCAGCTCGATCCCATAAATAATTACAACTCTTACTGATGTTTGTTTACAATTCTGCCTTTATTCAGATTTGTATCGTTGTCTATCATTTTTAGCTTTTGTCTTTGGTATATTGACCAAGCTGTTCATTGATTACTCTTCTCAGACTGCAAAAGCATTAGAACAAAAGCTGAAGGCAGCAGGAGTCCCACATGAAGTATACATCTACCCTGGACTTTCACATGCCTTCATGAATAGCTCTCCGGAAGGGGAGGAAAGGAGAAAGAAGATGGGACTGAATGACAAAGACGATGCTGGTGTGGAGTTAGCTTGGTCTCGTTTCCGATCATGGATGAAGAAGTACTTAACTTCCTGAGGAACTCATGTTCTGTAGTTCTGTAGGGTTAAATGGAAGAACAAACACTTGTCTTCCTGAGGAGCTCAGATGCTGTTATGCAGTACGCATTTTGATAAGCCTTGAGGTTTAAATGCTCAGTGTTGCATATATAGCCATGTTAGTAATGTTGGGTACATTTTGGGTTCCCTTTCTCGTGACCTTAAGTTTATATACAGGATTGTGGCCCTGTTATGTATAATGATGACAATAAGCTTTGGCTTTGTTGGCTATGTGCCACTTTAATAAGCTCTCTAAATGGATGTTGCTCAATTCATCACTCTAATACATGAACTTGACATATTAAAACCTAATCGTGAAAGCAAATGGCCTTTCAAGTCTTTATAACTGTAACTAAGAACATCTTGAGGGTGAAGAATTGAAAAATGGACCGTCTTTTGGCAAATGGCCATCTTTTGGCAGCAGAAAATGGCCATCTTTTGGCAAATACGGTTCTCTAGCTCAACATGCTCAAATCATATCCAAATTTTGTTTCTTTAATTCGTGATACGTAGCATGATAAGAAACTCTTACACTGCATGATGAAAACAAGTGTCTTTGAATGCAACTACCAAAAAAAAAATAACAAAGTTTCTTGTAGTTCACTTCTCCGAGTCACCAAGGTTCCTCCAGCAAATGGCGGATATACATATACACAGCATTCTCTATTTTAATCTAGATCCCATATACAATACAGAGTGTCTGCCTTGACGTCAAGATCCCATATTCAAAGAAGAGCAACACCTTAGCATGGAACTGGTTTGCGAGAGAATCCAATTTACTGAACCTTGGATAGCAGAATGATAAAGCTGGCTGCGTATGTATATCCAGCTAGGTATGAGCCACAAGAGGACTAACTTCGTGGCTATCTTCCAATATCATTCATGGTCTGTTGGAATCACATAATGAGAAAGAGGTAAGAAAATCAATCATCTAAAATAGAAGAATCAATAATAAAGAATAGTTTCTGCAGATGGCTCGAAACTATAGTAGTGGACCGGATAAACAATGTCCCGGCAAGTATTGAAGAAGCATATTTTCAAAAAGTTTTGAAAAAGCTTGAAATCCTCCAGCTTTAATACACCAAAATTTTTGAGGTAAAGCCATCATAATACTCACATGTGAGGGTGTAAGTCTCCCGTTGGATAGAAGTCATCCAATTGATCTTTGCAAGCATGAACGAATGCAAGTTGAAGCCGAATTTGATGCTGTAATAATACCGAAGCCAAGGTGGTATGTATCCCAAACTTTTATCACCTCAATTAGCCACCCAAAGCCTGAACAGCTCCAACCATTTTTGAAGAAAATGCCCAAGCAATCCTCAACCAGCAATACAGCAGCAGTTAACCTTTCACAAAACAACTCCAACAGTGAGCTCAATGCTAAGATCCACCCAATTTTATCCACCAAAAAGAAAGGGTACAAACATACTTACGAATAAACCTACAAGATTTGCTTTTGTGGGCTTCAAAATCCTTTGCTTTCTGGCAGACATCATCATCTTACGAATTTCAGCTCTCGAACAGCCTGCAATAATAATTAAACAAGTGGAAAAATACATTACACAAAGCAAAAACAGCTATGTTTAAGCTTAATGAAATATGACAAAGGAATTATTAAGTAGAAATTGCAACGGAAAAGATTTAAAGAAATAACAAACAGAAAGGAGGAACAACTGAAAGAAATGCGCATATGAAACAAAAAGAAAATGGGAGGCAATCTTGAAAAAACAAACTTCTACATCCGGCTCCAAAAATTATCAGCCAATGTAACCTTCCAGCAAGAGCCACAATTGCAAAAGTCATATTCTTAAACCAGGTAAGCTTAAAAGCAGCAACAAGCAGCGAAATGACACACCAATACAATAATCAAAGGTACTTCAGATAACCAGCAGAAATACTAAGCATATCAAAAGGATGAAAATGATAGCATTATACTATTTTAAATTTAAAACCAAAAAGAGATAAACCTCAAAGAAGATGATTCCCAACTGCACCAGCCACCGCAATAGTTTCACCATCCAAGCAGAATCCTATTGCTGAGGACTCAATAGGTAGGTGCCCGCATAGAAAGTACAAATCGTTTCAGATCACAGGCATAGAGGTATTTTTAATTGCTTACTACCAGCCACTTCTGATATAGTTCAAATGCTTTATCTAGCTCTCCCATCTTGCAATACTTTTTCATCAGCACTAAGAATGGAACATGATCGAGCTTCAATCCAATACCCTGTAACTTGACAAAGAACTCTTCCGCCTCCTGAACTTTACCTTCAAGACAATAACACTTAAGAATGATAGTGTATGTAACCATGTCTGGATAGATACCTACTCTAAGCATTTCATCATACAGATGAAATGCAAACTGAATGTCACCATTATAGCAAGCAGCGCCTAAAAATAAATTGTATGTCACACTATCTGGTAAGGGACCATTTTGAAGCATCTCCATTTTCAAAGAAAGTGCTTCCTTCATATTTCCAATTTTAAGTTGTGCACGAATCAGTGCATTATATGTAAATGTATTTGGCGAAACTCCCAAAGCAACCATATGTTCTAGGGTGGACCATGCCTTTTGCAAGTTGCCTGACCTCCCATAACTGTCAATTATGGCGTTCCAAATAATGTGTTCAGGCACAATAGAACCATCTATCATACGTAAACGAAGCTGGTCAGCTTTTGTCACATCTCCATGATAACAAAGCCCCTGTATTAACATCTTGAAAGTGATTTTATTAGGAGAAACACCCATCCTTGACATATGGTTGTAGATATTGCAAGCCTCATTCACCCGTCCTTCTTTACATAGAGCACCAATAATAGAATTGTAAGAAATGATATCAGGAAGAAAACCACTCTTAATCATTTGGCATGCATACTTATAACCAATAGCCACATCTTTGTTCAGACAAAAGCCATGTATAACTACATTATAGGCAACAATATCAGCTGAGATGTCCCTGCCGAAGATTTTCTCATACTGAGTAAGCGCCTGCTCTAAATCTCCATTTTTAAAGAAACCATGCATAAGCATAGTCGAAGTTATCAAATCTGATTTGTCATCACGGTAAGTATCACCCAAAAATTTTTCAAAAAGCCTCCTTCCATCCTCCACGAGACCTTTCTGGCAAAGAGCATGTACAACAATGTTGCAAGTGACTCTATTTGGGAAAATCCCATGGTTGGACATTGTTGAAAAGATATCAAGCGCTCTGTCAATCTTATTCAGATGGCAATAACCCTTTATCAAAGTGTTGTAAGTAGCACAATTTGGAAAAGGGCCCCTAAGCAGCATCTGCCCCAAAAGCCATTCAGCCTTCTCCAAGTGACCAGTTTTACAAAGTCCATTTATGAGGTTATTATGAGTGATAATATCAGGAATAGAGCCCTTTTGTATCATGTTACCACAGAGAAATAGAGCAACCCCAATCTTACCCTCCAAACACAGAGATCTAATCATTCTTACATCAAGATTATAGCTTCTTTCAAAGGAACCACATTTGATTCCCAATTGATCCCAGGATATGTTTTGCCTGCTAAAATGAATGTGTGTGAGATACCAAAAAAAAAAAAAACCAGCAGTTGAAAAGTATGAGCTGGCTCCATAAACATGCATTTAGACACATCTAAAAGAATTTGAACAACTGAGGGATTACAGACATAAAATTGTCAAAACAAGTACTCAAAACTATAACAAAGAACTGAAACCCTTAGAAATCTGCCACTTCTAAGGAAAGTAATCTTTCTCATACGCATTTGACACAATCCCAACTTAGTGAGATGCAAGCGTAAAGATAACATGAAAGACTAGAAAACTACCAGCAACCCAGAAGCTAAAACAAATAACCATCAAGAATTACCGGCTAAAGCCTAATGTGAATTTCAAACAGTCTCCTGACGAATAAAACTTCTATCCACCAAACACATACAATATTCCCAGTTAGCCACTTGTAATGCGGCATCTAGCACTAATCAATTCCCCTGTAGCATCTTATTACTAATAGATTCAAAGGGAAACCCTTATCTGCTTATACATAGGCCTGCCATTACTTTGATCATATCATAAAATAACCAACTTGCAAAAAACAAATCCACATCAATTCCACATCCAAAACGTACTGCAGAAATAACATCATGCTCACACTAAAGCTCAAAAAAACATTTCTAAAGCAAGGGGGAAAATAAATAAACCCCACTCCGGGAGAATATATGAACTGACCTCATACTTCTCAACCGATCCAAACTGTCCTTCAGCATTGCATCCAAACCATTAAAAACTGCGGCCGAACACTCTCCATTATCACCACCATTGCTGTCCCGTTTCTTATCTTCCTCTCCTAGTTCATATAGGTTATGCATACTGCCGATAGCCGATTCATCTCTTCCTTGAAAGCACCTATATTCCCCAGAAGTATACAACTTTCAGCGAAAATTCGAAGCAACAATATCCAAGTGACCCAGGAATCCGAAATGTGGAAGAGAGATGTTACCTAGGATCAAGCAAACGAAGATTGACGGATTCGGAGTACAAAAAATCTGCGCATAATCGATAAATGCGAGAAAAGCGGTCCTTAATCGTGTCTAGATTCTGGAAACCACTGTTCAAAATCCGGAAGAGAATTTGAGATTGCTCCGAAGAAATTAACCCCTGTTCACACAATTACAAACAACGGTCACAAACCCAATGATAAAAACGATAACAGGACCTTCATCCCACATTCAAACAGGGGAAAGGGACTGAATACTTACGGATTGCATTATCGGGGAAGATGCTAAGGTAGGAACGACGTCGTGAGGTCACCGGCGGGGAAGATGCGGCGTCGTTGAAGGACTGGAGACGGCGGCATAAGCCAAAAGGAAGGGTTAACTGAAACGGAGACCGGAAGAGCACTGCGGAAAGTCCATTTTACCAGCTTCTAATTGTAAATTGTTATAAAAATGCTTTTGTTTTAAAAAAAAAAATTCAGGGAAAATTGGGAAAAGATGATCTTAATATCTATATCTGAAAAAAAAGATTTTTATTTTTTATTTTTTTATTTTTTTATCATTCACAAGAAAACAGTATTTTTTTTAAAAAGTTTTTTATCATTCACAAGAAAACAATAATTTTTTTTAGGTTGGCAGCTAGCATTAAAAAATCCCGCCATTCTCATGAATGTGGATTATATAAGAAATCGTATAAATGTTAGGACGCCACCGTTGTACGCGCCGCAGGGTCCGATTGCATCGTCTTGGCAAGGACCGCTACATCTCTATGGGAACTTGGGTTTAGTGCAAAATGTACACTAAGAACGCATAGTTAAATCTTTCACTTCTTGGCAAGGACTACTACACTCTCATAAGGATTTGGGAGTAGTGGGCACAAGGAAAAATGCCCAATGTAGAAAACAACTTAAGAATGATTCTAGAAATGATAAGACTTGTAGGTTAGAGAGTTGGAACAAAAGGTCCATAACAAGTAAATCTATAGAGCTAGTAGAATGTATGAGAAGAAGGAGGGTTAATATAATGTGTTTGCAATAAACCAAATGGGTAGGTGAAGAGGCCAAAGTTTTAGATGACACGAGGTACAAACTTTGGTATAGTGGGAAAGATAGGAATAGGAATGGGGTAGATATTATAGTGGATTCATTATTCATAGACCAATTAGTAGGGTGGTTAGGAATGGGGATAGATTAATAACCTTAAAAATTATAATAGGACAAGAGGTCATAAATATAATTAGTGCGTATGCACCTCAAGTGGGATTAGACGAAGCTACTAAAACAAAATTTTGGGAAGATTTGGACTCATTGATCCAATCAATCCCTCAAAATGAAAAAATCTTTATAGGGAGATTTAAATGGACATGTAGGAAAGGAAAATGGAAAATATGAGAGGGCTCGTGGCGGTTATGGTTTGGGGGTACAAAATAATGAAGGTAAAATTTTATTGGACCTTTCTGTGGCATATGACTTTGTCATATGTAACACCTTATTTAAAAAAAGGGATGAACATTTGATTACATATAAAAGTAGCCCTAACAAATCACGAATTGATTACTTTTTAACTAAGAAGAGTGATAAATTTTTTTGTAAAGATTTTAAGGTGATACCGGGAGAGTGTATAACAACTCAGCATAGGTTGTTGGTCATAGATCTAAGAATTAAAACTAATATATGTAAGAGAAAAATACCTAAAATACCTAGGATAAAATGGTGAAATCTTAATAACAAAGATAAAAAAGATAGGTTTACTAAAATATTACTTGAAAAAGTTAATTAGAATAGAAGCCAATAAAACTTGGAAAAAGGTAACTAAAGAAATAAGAGCAATCACTAAAAAAGAACTAGGAATTCCAAAAGGGAATAAATGCAATAAAGAATCATGGTGGTGGAATCAAGATATTCAAGAAAAAGTAAAAGAGAAAAAAACGTGCTATAAAGTATTTTATACTTGTAGGAGTGATGGGAATGTTGAAAAATATAAAAATGCTAAAAAATAAGTGAAAAAAGTAGTAAGTGAGGCAAAGACAAAGGCCTTTGAAATCTTTTACCAAAAATTAGATACTAAGGAGGGAGAAAAAGACATTTATAAAATTGCAAAAATATGAGAAAAAAAAACAAAAGATTTATCCGAGATTAAATGCATAAAAGATGAACGTGGGCATGTCTTAGTGGATGATAAGATCATCAAGGATAGGTGGAAAGATTATTTCGATAAACTATTTAGTGAAGTAGATAATAGGGAAACAACACTAGGTGAACTAGAGCTAAGTGAGAAGCATTAAAATTTCACATATTATAGGAAAATCTAAATTAAAGAGGTTGAGAAAGCTTTGCACAAAATGAAAAGGGGAAAAGCCGTAGGTCCCGATGATATCCCAATAGAGGCATGGAGATGCTTTGACGAATTTGGGATTAAATGACTTACGGAGTTATTCAACATAATCATGAAGAGTAAGAAAATACATAACCAATGGAGGAAGAGTACACTAATACCCTTGTTTAAAAATAAAGGAGATATACAAAATTGTGCTAATTATATAGGCATAAAATTAATGTGTCACACAATGAAATTGTGGAAAAGGGTAATAGAAACTAGGCTAAGGCAAGAGACAAACATAATGAAAAATCAATTTGCTTTATGCCCGGAAGATCAACAATGGAAGCTATACATTTATTAAGAAGATTATGTGAGCATTTTAATGAGAGAAAACAAGATTTACACATGGTTTTCATTGACCTTGAAAAGGCATATGATAGAGTTAATAGAGATATAATGTGGCGGGTGTTAGAAAAGAGGGGAGTGAGAGTAGGATATATAGAAATAATAAAAGACATGTATGATAATGCAACAACTTGTGTGAGGACTCCCGTAGGGATTTCGGGTAAATTTCCAATCACGGTTGGTTTGCATCAAGGGTCGACGTTGAACTCATACCTTTTTGCTTTAGTAATTGATGAAATCACTAAACACTAGCAAGTAGCCATCCCCGAATGCATGTTATTCGCTGATGACATAGTTCCAATAGATGAAACAAGGTATGGGGTTAATGCCAAGTTATAGACTTAGAGGGAGGCGTTAGAATATAAAGGTTTTACAATAAGTAGGGCTAAAATGGAATATATGGAATGTCATTTTAGTAACCATAAGAGTAATAGCATGGTAAATGTTAAGATTGGAGAACATAAAGTGAACATATCTAAAAGTTTTAAATATTCAGGATCCATTATAGAAGAAAATAGAAATATTGATAAAGATGTAACACATAGAATCCAAACCGGGTGGAATAAATGGCGTAGTGCCTCATCAATACTTTGTGATCGTAAAGTACTATTGAGTTTGAAAGGTGATTTCTATAGAACGGCAATTCGTTCGGCGATGCTTTATGGATCCGAGTGTTGGGCCACTAAATATGAAAATGAGCAAAAAATGAGGGTAGCGGAGATGAGAATGTTAAGATGGATGTGTGGGCATATTAGATTAGATAGGATTAGAAATGATAGTATTAGAGAGAAAGTAGGGGTAGCTCCAATAGACGGAAAAATGAGAGAAAACCGTTTAAGATGATTTGGGAATGTGTGTAGGAGACCGGTAGAGCCTCCGGTTAGGAGGGTAGAAACTATAGAATCAAGAATTCAAATTAAAAGGGGTAGGGGTAGACCTAAGAAAACATGGAAAGAAATTATAAAAAATGATTTGAAATATTTAAATTTGTCCGATGAGTTATGCACCGACCGTGCACGATAGTGACATATGATCCATATTGCCGATCCCACCTAGTGGGAAAAAGGCTTGTTGTTGTTGTTGTTTACAACGAAAAAGGTTAATACAATGAAAGAGGTAAAATTCTAGTTATAAGAAATTAACCATACAGTTATAAAAGAATGTTAATCATCTACATTCGAAGTAGTGGAAAAGTCCTAGAGTCCTCCTTAGGAGATTCTCTCTGAGAGTTCTATTTTTATATTAAGTCTTTCACGAGATTTCATCGTGGATTGTCTGCCCAAATCTCACATTCTTAATATAATAATTCCAGTGTCTGATTTCTTGTACATGTCTTTCGTTTCTCTGAATTTCTTTTCTACTTTCGCCAGTATAATCCATGTTCACATATCTCTTAGTTCTTCACTAATCATCTAGTTTTCCTTTGTGTCTTTTTCAGTCTTTTCTTCCGCCTCTTTTATGCTATTTCCATCTTTGTTTTTACTAACGAATGCTGTTTTTCATCTTGTTTTTACAGTTTCATTTGTGCAGTATAAATTCGCAGTAAAGGTCATTCATATCTGTTATCATTGGAGGTTGAATAACCCTTCTCTGTCTCTTGTATCATGGTCACTGAGGAGGAATTGGAACACATAATTGGGAGATTGTCATTACGGGAGAATGAATCTGTCCAGCATTCTACAAATTCTTTAAGCTTCACTCGTATTGATCCATTCCTCACTGTTGTTGGAAAACTCCACTGTCCAAGAGTGGTTTCTCATGATGCAATCGGAACTCATTGTCGCAATATATGGTTAAACAGGCTCGGATTTACAGTCAGGCCAGTGGGGGAGAACTTGGTTCATTTCAAGTTTAATGACCGTATTGATCGTGCTAGAGTTCTTCATGGTGAACCGTGGTTGCTTGTTCGGAAACATCTTCTGGTCCTCAAGCCTGATGATGATCTGTCTGCGGATTTTCGCATCTGCCCTTGGTGGATTCAACTCCATCACTGTCCATTGTACTTAATGAATGAGGACTTTGCCATCTTTGCCGGAAATTTAATTGCCCAGTTTATGGAGATATTTACGGATGCAGACCGCAATTGTATTGGCCGTTTTCTTCGCATTAAGGTTAATATTGATATTCAAAAGCCTCTAATGCAAGTCCTGCAATTTGAGCATGATGGTAAGCAGATCACAATCCCACTGCGGTATGAAAGGTTAGCGGAATGGTGTTACCATTGTGGGATCATAGGCCACATTGAAAACGGTTGTCCAACCAAACCCTTGACACCAAGTAGTTCATCTTCCTCCCCTTGAGTATGGACCTCGGTTGAAGGCGAAAGGTTACTGGAATCCTTTCGTTTCTCGGTGTCCGGCGCAAGAGCCGGATCCGTTTCATGTTCCTAACGATTCCGACGAGGAAGTTGCACCCTACCATGAACGTTAGTCGTATCGGATAACCACCAGCCCCACTATCTCTCCCCCACTCAGTCATGATCAGGTAACTGCTCCTTTGTCTAATACTGTAACCAACCCTAAAACTGCTCCAGCAAACCAATCAATCCATATCTCTTCCAATTCATTTCTTACTATCTCACCAGACCACGTCCAAGACCCCACTTCTTCTGTAAACACCACAATTATCTCCAACTCTGACCATCCCCCTCTAATCACCCACAATAATCGTACTCAAACCAAATCTTTGAAAACCGCTATCCCTCCATCACATGTTAACCTTTCTAGCCATTCTGGTGATATTCCTACTAGGTCCTCATCTCTCAACTCCCGTCCTTCATCATCTAAATCCACTCCTGCCCTTAACTCAGCACCAGTTACACCTCCAAACCCTAACCATGCACCCTCTATGCCAACTCAACCCATGGTCGCGCTCTCTACCTCATCCCCTCCTTCCAATAGCTCGCATCCAACTGAATCTGAGGATATTATAACAATCACAATGTCCAGTTCCCCTTCAACAACTCCTCCATCAGTTCCACATGTAATTCCGAATATAAATTCTAATTCATCAATCCCCTCACCAATTACCCACACAAAGTCATGTTCCCCCTCCCTTTACTACTGACCAATTAAATACATCCTCTACTTCAGCCTCTCTTCTTAGCCCGTATCTTGTCACTGTTCCAATGTTGTTGGATACTCCAGCTCGTAAAGCAGCGCGCAGATTCAACACAGCTCATAATCGCATACTCCAAAATGCTCCAGTAGACGTTCCATCTGTTCAAACAGGAAAACGTAAATGGTGTGTTGAAGATTTTGATGGTCAAGACTTTCAAATGATTGATGTTGAGGTTATAGGAAAGGAGTCGCGTACGGAGTGTGTCACTATTTCAGAGGATTTTTCTGTAGCAATTGAATCTATGGATGGCGGTGTGGCGGAGATTGGGTTAACTTCCCAATTCCGCCCAGCTCAATGAGTATCATAAGCTGGAATTGCGCGGGATTGGGGAGTTCCCGAAAATTCAAAGAATTTGGCAAGATAGTCCATGAAAAATCCCCGCATCTTCTCTTTCCGTGTGAAACAAAAAGCAATTGTAATCAAATTCAGAGACTGAAGAATAAATTGAATATGTTTGGAATTTATGTAGAGGCGAATGGAAGCTCAGGTGGATTGACAATTTTGTGGAGTAAATAGATCACTGTTGATTTGAGGTCCTATTACGACAGATATATTGATGTTGATGCTGAATTGAATGCCATCAAGTGCGTGTAACTGGAATTTACGGGTAACCGGATGTTTCGTTGCGACGGGAGGCCTGAAATCAATATTGTTCATTATTTGATCCCCAACAAAAGCCATGGAAATTTTTTGGAGACTTTAATGAAGTTCTTACTCAGGATGATTTTCAAGGGAGTCGTTCTCGAGTTAATTGGCTAATCAATCTTCTTCGGAACACGCTGGATCATCTTTAACTATTGGACATGGGTTTTGAGGGCTACAAATAAACCTAGTAGCGTCTTTTTCCACATCCGCAAACCCAAAGGGCTAGACTAGATCGTTCAACTTGTAACAATGGTTTCAATCAGCTGTTTCCCTGGAGTGTTGTGTCCCATATCCCTATGTTCATTTCTGATCACGCTTTGCTACACATAAAATTGCGTGAAAGGAACCCTTGTACTCACAATCATTGGCGCCAGAAACCATTTCGATTCGAAGCTCATTGGATTAAAGTCAAAGATTGTTAGAAAGTTATTGAGGAATGCTAGAATTCGGACCGCAGTTCGTTGGGTGATCGATTGGAGCATGTTCAAGTTGGTTTACTAAACTGGAGTAGAAATCATCATTCAATGTTGGAAAAAAGGATTGATGCACTCAAAAAGGAGATTTTACAGTTGCAAAGAAGACGCATTGATGATCCTGGCCGGATTAAGCTTGGCGAATTAGAAAAGGAGCGGGAGTTGTTGCCTGATTGGGAAAATTTGAAATGGAAACAAAGAGCCAAGCTGCATTGGTATAAGGAGGGAGATCGTAACACTAAATTTTTCCATGCTTTTGCTAATAAGCGAAAGTCGGTGAATCATATTTCTGGCCTCAAAGATAATACGGGTAACTTTGTGTTAATGCTAAGGATATGGAGCAAATTATTATGGATTATTATGGGATGTTGTTTTCATCTTCATGTCCGTTGGAATCTGAAATACAATAGGCAGTAGATCGGTTAATTCCAAAAGTTACATCAGATGTGAATGATCGCTTAAGTTGTGAAAGCGCTCAAGGAAATGGCATCCTTCAAATCTCCCGGTTTGGACAGTATGAGTTCTGTTTTTTTCAAAAAATTCTGGAATATTGTTGGAAATGATGTGACATCTTTTGTTCTGAATTTTTTAAATCATGGTGTCTTTGATTAAAAAATGAATTATACTCATATTGTGTTGATACCCAAAGTCAAAAGTCCGGATCTCATTACCCAATTTCGTCCAATTTCCTTATGTAACGCAGTCTATAAGCTGTCTTTGAAGGTTATTTCTAATAGATTACGTCTCATTTTACCTTCTATAATTTCTGAGTCCCAATCTGTGTTTATTCCCAACCGTCTTATCACAGATAATATCCGCTTGGCTTATGAAACTCACCATCACATGAAAACTCGTTCTAATTGCAAAAATAATTTGATGTATATTAAATTAGACATGAGTAAAGCTTTTGATAGGGTTGAGTGGAATTTTATTAAATCCGTTTTACTTGCATTAGGGTTTTGTGAATCTTTTGTAGGTCTAATAATCACTTGCCTTTCTTCCGTTAGGTTTTCTTTCATTCTAACTGGGCAACAATTTGGCAACCTAACACCGGAAAGAGGAATCCGTCAAGGCGATCCTCTTTCCCCATATCTCTTTATCATTTGTTCGGAGGTATTTTCATGTGTGTTGCAGGATCTCTAAAGCTGTGGACGTATTCATGGAATTGGAGTAACTCGAGATGCTCCAAAAGTCTCCCATCTTTTCTTTGCGGATGACACTTTGCTTTTTGGTCGAGCTGAGGAAGAGGAAGCACATTACTTGCATTGAGCCATCAAACTTTATGAGCGGGTCTCAGGGCAGCGTTTCAACTTCAAAAAATCTGACATCTTTTTCAGCGCCAATACTGAAATCCCCACAAGAGCCACATTTGTTCGATCTTTGGTATTCCGGAAGTAGAAGGCCATGAGAAATATCTTGGACTACCCTCTATTGTTGGTCGAAACAAGAGTGAAGTTTTTTCAAGCATCAAGGATAGGGTTTGGCAAAAAATGCAATGTTGGAGCTAGAAGTTGCTGTCTAGGGCTGGGAAGGAACTTCTTATTAAAAGTGTCATACAAGCTATACCGTCGTATGCTATGTCTTGTTTTTTACTTCTTGATAATGTACTGTATGAGCTGCAATCCATGTCAAGTAACTTCTTTTGGGGAGATTCAGAAGGAAAGAGGAAAATTCATTCGGCATCTTGGTCTTCTATGTCACATAGCAAAAATGATGGTGGTCTCGGCTTCAGGGATTTAAAGCCTTTTAATATGGCTATGTTAAGCAAGCAGGCCTGGCGTTTGTTAACATCTCCACACTCATTACTTGCTCGCGTTTTAAAGGCAAAATACGATCCTGCTCATAAATTCCTCGACGCAAATCTTGGTCATAGACCTTCCTGGACTTGGCGTAGTATCTTAGAGGGTCGCAAAGTTCTTGAACTGGGTTGTAGGAAGCAGATTCATAGTGGCGCGCAAACGAACATCTAGAATGATAAATGGATACCTTTGGAACCCTCCTTTCGCACTTCAGTCACACCGCACTTATTAATAACATCTGCAACAGTTTCATGCTTAATCAGACAAGATTGTGCTGGTTGGAATCGCGAGCTTATCACCTGCATTTTCCCTCCTGAGGAGTCCTCAGCTATTCTCTCAATGGCGTTACCTCATTTTTTGGCGCATGACCGTTGGATCTAGCATCATACCAAGAATGGTTGTCACTCAGTGCGATCAGCTTATTATCAGCTAATGAATTCCCCAGGCTTCACTCACCAAACCATGGCAAATTCAATCAGACCTGCTAGCGTTCAAGATCCTCTTTGGAAGCGTCTGTGGAAACTGAAGTTGCCAAGTCGTACTCTTCTGTTCATTTGGAGGCTTTGCACCAACTCGTTACCAACATCAACAAATTTAGCCTCAAGACATTTAACAGTTGACCTTGATTGTCCCTTTTGCCATCAATCTTCTCTGGATAGCTGTCCTACTTTCTTCTACTGTCCGTTCGCTGTACAGACCTTCAGGATTGCTGGAATCCATCAACAAATCCTAGAGTTTAGAAGGTCGCTTAGCGAGTTATGGACTAGAGCCATCTTCCTGAATGCTCAATTTACATCAGCTGCTTTCTTTGCAGCCTTACTTTCGGGTATCTGGCAGGCTCGCAATTCTTTCTTGTTTGAGCAGAAAATTATCTCTGCTTGGTCTATGGTTCTTCAAGCTAGCAGGGTAGTCTATGATTTCTCTAAGATCAATGGAAGATCAGCTAATCCTGAGCACGTATCCTCGGTGTTTCCTCTCTTCCAACCACCACCAGATGATGCTGTGAAGGTATACTTCGATGGGGCAATTTCAAGTTCCAGGAGATGCGCTGGCGCTGGAATATTTATACAAGCTCCAGATGGTCACTTTATTCATGGAATGGCAAGACAATTTCCGGATATTTTCGACTCAAATCTGGCAGAGGCCCTGGTTTTCTGAGAAGCTCTCTTGTTATGTTGTAAGCTAGGTATCTCCAACGTTGCAGTACATTGAGATTCCTCATCTCTCATTCTTGCAGCCACAAAGGAGGTAGATAGCTCTTCTGCTTGTGCTCTAGAAATGGAGGATGTCATCTACTTATGCCATGATCTCCCAGTTCGCCATGTTTCATGGATTCACAGGATGGATAATGTTATTGCTCATTCTATAGCTAAATTCGCCAAAACGGCTTTTGTAATCGAAACTGTTTGGAGTGAAACTCCTAACTTTATTTCTCAATTGATGCTGGACCGTTTTCAATAATCATCAATGAAAGTTTATTTTCTTCAAAAAAAAAAAGAAAAGAAAAGAAACTAACCATACTCTAACGTTGATTGGAAGAACAAAAAAGCTGTTGGTAACTCTGAGTTCTCAAATGTAACGTACAAGGCCACCATGGATCCCTAGTTTCGCTTCCCCTCCTTGCACCATATTAAACACATACCAGAAGTGGCTCAAGATATTTTGGGGCCTAGAGCGATTTTCAAATCTGAGGTCTAAAATCAGAATTTAATATATTAGTATTTTTATAATATTAATTTAGTTTATGGAAAGAAAACTCTACGATTCAGCACTGCTTACCAAAATTTATCAATTACTAAAATGATAAGTGCCAATAAACATCACTAACAAGAATTGTATAAACACTAAAGAAAGATGACATAGCCAATTATATATAGAGTATCATTATTAAATCAATATGCAGCATGAACACCACTATTAAAGAAGTAAAGAAAATGGGAAGATTAAATAGTTATTAGTTGTGAAGATAATAATCAAAGCTTTTCGAATAGTATTTAAGTCTTTTTAAATTCCACCAGTTAAGAGTTAATATCATAATCAAATTTAGGAGGCCTAAATTTTAGGTGAATAATTTGAAATTTTGGATTAATGTTGAGATAATTTGGGATTTTTGGCCTCTTAATCCATTTAATTTTTTAATCTTTTTAATATATTATTTTATTAATAATGTATAAAATTTTGGGGCCTTCCAAAATTTAGGGCCTAAAGCCCTATCTTTACTAGCCTTATCCTAAGGCCGCCTGTGACACATACATATAATCAACTTCAACTATAATGTTACGGCCTTTAACATCTCAAACCAATCCCACAATCAGAATATAGTCGATTATATCCTTGGAAGGAAGTCAATGCCCAGCTGTTTTAATTCCTTTAGAAGATATTGTAGATTTGATGCTTACAACTACTATGTCAAAGAATGTCATCAAGGTTAGTAGATACATAGTTGAGGGTGCACATAGACTAGTTAAAGCATGTCTTCGGATAGATAATATATTGTAATATGTTCTTTCATGAAATGATGTGTGTTTCCAAAAAAAAAAAAAAAAAAAAGGAAAAGTTAACACTTTCAAATAAAAACCCTGCATCTCTGCATAATAGCGCAAAACTCAATGTGTATAATAGACCTCGCCCTTTAAATGACCATAATGACCTAGGATCACACCTTCAACACTTGTTATATATTTGAGCTCACTTTTAACCAATTTATAGGCAGGAAATATCAGCTAGTCATAAAAAAGAAGGATTTATTAAAACTAAAGTAGTTAACAAATTGGAATTTTTATATGATGGATTGAATAACATTTTGAATACATAATTCCGATGTCATCATGATGATACTTAAAAAGAATGCAAACTTGATTAATATGAATAATAATATGTATAGGAAAAATTAGTGAAAGGAAAATTTTTAATGAATGATAACTGTCTACACTTATGCCTGAATTGAAAGATTATTTTTATTTTTTTTTGGTTAATAGATTTATCCATTTAAGATTAAATAGAAAATTAATATTTAACCACATCATTATGTAAAAAAAATTAGTGAAAAGTTAATTAACATAATTACCAAAAGTGAACAATAAGTATGACTGAGTTTGTCACCTAACTTAATAGCTACAAAACTGGTGAGGTATACATCCTCAAACTGACAGAAAAATAAAATCTGCTACCGCAACTATTACGTTTAGTATAGCATAAAAACATTTACTGAAGATACTTTTGCAACAATCTTCCCTCAGCTACTCTGATTTTCTGTCTCTTCCAAAGCAGGATATGAATTAAGCTACGATTAAATCCTCTTCAAAATATCCACCGGTCTCTTCTCAGTATTTTCAAAGTACATTTACTTTTTTCTCCCAAATGTGGTATATACTAGCATTCAATACTGCCAGGAAAATTGCCATTTTAGTTTGGTTCCTTTCCAAACAGTCAACACCTGTATTTTCCATCTGCATTCGTGAGTTGAAATTTTCCTGCATCCCAACAATACTCTGATCAAATCTAGCAACTCATTTGCAACACAACATTGGAAAAATAAGTGTTCAAATGATTCAACTGCTTGCTTATAGAGCAGACAAGTATGATCTTGAATATCAACATGCATCATTGTGAGTCTCCTTACTGAACTCTATTCATCTAGACCAACCAAGAAATGAAGCTATGCTTAGTGATTATCATTCTAGCCCGTACACACTAAGATTCCGGCTTCTTTTCCCCTCTACCAGACAGCCATCTATAGACCTAATTGAATATTGACTCTATTTATCGTCCTTCCATCTTGAACCATCAAACCCAATCATAACTTCGTCTCTAAGCTTCAAAAGTTATTTCAACTGCCACCTAGAGTCAATTTTAAGTTGAACATCCCAAAATGAAGATTGCTTTATATAAATTCCATAGATCCACTTCACCCACAATAACTCCTTTTGAACAGAAAGATGCCAAACTTGTTTCAAAGTTGTTGCCTTGTTCCATAGTTTGGCATCTCTAATGCCCAAGCCCCCTTCATTCTTCACCGCTCTTTCTTTCTTCTTTTTTTAAAACTCCTTCATTCCCATACATCTTGATGAGCAACCACTATTTCAAGGTAGAGTAAAGTTACTTGAATTCAAATATTTAGGCAGACAACAAAAACACATACTAATAAATTTATGCTAATTTAATACTTTTGGATAAAAATTTCCATTGGTCTTAACTTGCTAAAAATAACACACAATGAATCAATAAAATAATAAGATAATATTTTCTTTCCACAATTTTTTTTATATGTTTGAGTCCGATGATAACATAAATTAATGATTATTGTAAATGCAAAAGATTAAAAAAAAAGAAATAATTACTTAACATGAATATAGACGTCTTCTTTTTCCCAAAATTTATATTTATGGTGATAAGATGAAATTATATCATCAAAATCATTTTCGCAGCTTAATCTTTGGAACTTAAAAAAATTCTCTTTAAAATAATAAATTATTAATTTACAGGTGAAATTAAATTTTTGAATCCGAACACTTGTAATTTAATAAAAGTTTACTCAGAGCTGAACACTTTGCAATCAAGACAACTAGATTATAATTGTTCGCAAAATTTACTTATCTAATTAATAAACACAAATAGATTTTCCCCGACTTTCGGTCCTCTATGTGCCACCTTTCTTTTTCCCGACCCTTCAAAGTTTAAAACAAAAATCCCAATATTTTCCCCTATCTTTCTACCATGGAAGGATGGGGGAGATAGTGTTGTTTCGATTCTTAAATTTTTTATTTTTTAAAATCTGATTTCAATAAGTGAGATTAATCTCTTGTACTAGTTAGATATGGTGGCGGCTTCTTTAGTAATGTTTGCTAGTTTGTCGGCGGCTTTTATGGTGATATTCACTAGTATACGCCGGTTCTACTGATGATGTTTGTAGGTATGGCAGCGGCTTCGTTAGTGTTCATTAGCATGGCTCTAAAGGATTCAGTCATCATAGGTCTAATTGTTAGATCTATGATTTAGGAGTTTTAATTGATTTTTAGTGTTGTATCCTTGACCGAATTAAAAGTCTAGTGCATGGTACAACCATTATTTTACATGGTATATTTATGTAGTTTTATCCATATGAAACACAACAATTACATAAATATTAGGAACGAATATAAGTTATATTTTTCTAATTCCATCTTTTCTTATCAATCTTTGCTGGCGATTTCACTAAATTTATAAACTTTTATTTTTATTTTTTTTAAATACATACATTTTAGTTTGAACTTGCCCAACCTATAATTAGTCACTTCTCAGGCCTCTTCATCAAACCTTAATGAGAGGATTAACGTATTCAGAGTTTTTTCACCCTCGTATACAAAATGTCAGTGGTGGTATATTATTATCTACCAATGAAAAGTTAAATACCACTTTACATTAATTTAAAAACTTAATTGTTATTAATTAAAACTTTTTCTTTTTCCACCAGCAATCTAACCAAGGTACGAAATTTCATATGATCATTTGGCAATGTCAAACTAATTGCTTGCTGCTAGTTTGCTTGGCAACTGAAAATTCTGGGATTCAATTTTTACATTTCTTTTATTATTATTATTTATTAGAATTAATTACTCCAAATGTACTAAAAAGATGCCATCTATATTCACTCAGAACTAAAAAGAAAAAACGTTACACTTTGGTACTAAATAGTAAACTTTTATTTTTTTTCGATTCTCCGTTTGTTTTCTGAGGAAAAGGGTGGTGGTTAGCGGCGGTGGATGGTGGAGTTGACCAAGAGTATAATTGGCAAATCAAAAAAAATAAACCACACTTCTCACGCACGTGCGAGTCACGTGGTTGCCGCCAAAAATTAGAAGCGGTAAATTCAAAATTCAAAAAAATTTGAATTTGCCGCCTTGAGCCACCGCTTCAACGGACGCCAGCAATGGGCGGCGCCACCGCGAACCACTACTGAACCACCGTGAGTCAATGCCTGTCAAAAGCCGGGCCACCGCTGATCCACCGCCGACCGGTGAATATTCCGGTCATAATCCGATATTATCGCCAGGATATTCGCCGGCCGGGGACCGGAATATACTATCTGACGCCGGCGACGACAAATTCCTGGCGACGACTAATATTTTATGCCCAATAAATAACGGACCATCAACTATTCGAGGCCCAAAAAAAAATTA